AAAAGGTTAATTTAAAAAGTTAAATCAGAAGCTCATTAGCCCAACATCATTCCTATAAAAAGAAAGTAAGAATGACAAGTAAAAATGTTGACTTTAAAATATTAAACAACATTTATTATCCTATACTAAATATTACAACTTCATAGTGCTTTTGTAAGTACCTTCTCCCATGTCACTGTAATAGAGAATATAGAATATCCTAGAGGATGAGAAGAAAGATAGTATAAGACGAATATATTTTTAACAAAAATAGTAAAACTTTCAAATATTTCACATCCATTAAATATAAATTATCCTCCAAACTATTAACTGTAAAATTCAAATTGTTTTCACTTAAATTCTAATTTTTCTTTGTTATTTTATTGCACCCATAGTCCATAAAAGAACTATCGTGGTAATAGTTTTAATTATTCAAGTATCTTCGATTTGTAAATCAGAATTTGATATCTATATTTTTTAAATTTATGAGCCAAAAGTAAGAGTTTTAATAATCCAAGTATTCATTTTATGATCAGAAAATGTGAATACATTACATGAAAATGTACTTGAATGTTGTTACATATAATTATATTAAATTTATGATTAGTAGAATTATTATAAGTCTTCATAAATAAATATGGTGTAAGAAAGGATATACAAGTCACCACTCTAGTCTCTTCACAAGTTTATACGCAAAATTCTCACCTTTCAATAATTTTGCTTAATTCTATCGATTATTGAAAAAAAAATATTATTCTTATAACATACATTAGAAATTATATATCAGATATACTTTACAAACGTGATCAAGGCTTTTCAACTATATCAAATGAATCATGCCATCAAGAGATTTATAGCATCCTTTAATTTTTATATACTAGTGTTCTAACACACTGCCTTTATAATATGTTCATATGTTCTTTAATCATCAAGAGATTAGCTTTTTGATTCAGTGCTAATTTTTATCCCATTTAATATTATATTTTGCATTATCGATCAAAGTCCATTTCAAAATTTATATGTTTAAATACATTTAATTTAATTTTCAAACTTAAACTAGTTTTTTTTTTTTTATTTCCATGGGCCTAACATTTTTAATCATCAATATAGAACATGAGGATGAGCTCGGTAACAACGTGTGTGATACTACTCAGATCTGAATGGTCTGGCAAAAGAGGAAAGGGTTTATTCACTTTATAAAAGCAGAGTAGATCCAACAACAATTGCCATTTCTGGTTCTTTTGTAAGTCTCACAGTTACTACAGCAAAAAGCATGGCAAACATGCACCCATAAATCAAAAGAAAAAGCACACACGTTACTTTTTATCTTCCCCTTTGACAGAAATGGAACCGTTGCACCAAAAGCTGCACAATTCATAATTATTAATTACAAAGCTACAGTTACACCGATTATAAACAAGTTATTATTATTTTTATTATTAACCATTCTACATGTGGCTGACACCAATAGTAAACAGGAAAAGAACAAGGAACACCAACAGTAATTATATAAATATATATATATATATATATATATATATAAACTTTATACTTTTTTGTATAATGAACTTTTGTAATTGTACAGTATATTACAAATTGATATTGGTTTTATAATATAGAATTATTTCTACTAACTATTTTATCTTAAATGTACAAAGTTCTTCATATAAATATATGTAATCACTCACACACAGCTAAAAATATACTTCCTTCTTCGAAATGGTTGATGCATTAATGCAAGACACTGTTAAATTCACAGCTGGAGAGTAAATTTATTTAGCCGTATGTTAATTAATACGTATTTGAACCCTGTTATATGTGAATTTTTTTTAACTAGCAGCTATGAGTAAATATTAGTTTTAGATTCTAATCTTAAAGACATTTTGTGGTGTCTGATATTGGAAAAATTATCAATTAGTTTTGATTAAATAAAAACATTTATTTAACTGAATTATTTTTTATTAAAACATTTAAAAATTATGATTCTATCAATATTCTCTCTCTTATTAAAATTAAAGGTAAAACTAAAACAAATAAATTGTATTAATTGTTAAAATATATAACAAAAAAAAGTGAATAAAGGACAAATGAAAATAAAAACAGTAAAAAAATCCAATGATCAGTCTCAAATTTGCGATGCATGTAGTTCAAAATATATAAACTGAATTTTATTCATAAATAACCTATTGATAAAATCATAACTATATATATATATTTGAACATGATTTTCAATTCTAAACCATAATTTTAGTAAAAAGAAATTTATCTTTGAGACAAGCCATAGTTTTTTCTGGTGCGTAAGACAAACCATAATTTAGAAACTGTTATCTAATTACAACGGAGAAGAGCCAAAGAAGCGCTGATGACGGTAATGGGGAAAGTTGTGTCCCTCATTAAGTCATAAAGGTTTTAACGTCAAATAGCTGCTCTACCTGTCTGTCTTTATTAATTATGATTGTTAATGATATGTTTATATTATTTAATATTTTATGTAAAATTTATTTTATTAATTTATTCGTTTGACTATTATGATTATTTTTTATATAAATTTTCTAGTGAGGTCTGTGCATGCTGACCCTTTTTACTATTCCTTACCTGTAATTTTCACAACTCAATGTATTGTTTTGTTTAAATGTAAAAAAACTTGAATCATTGAAAGTTGACATCTGTTTTTCTTCTTCTAATTTTAAGATGTATTTTTGAAACGTGCATATATAAAGTAATAATAATATATCACATGTACTAATTTTTAATAGAAAACTGTTATAGAACATAGAAGAAACCTGCTCTCACATAGGAATTGGAATGTCATTAGCACAATGTACATTGTACAACATAGGTTCCTGCAGCGGTCCCATCTTCTTCCAAGTCTGCATCAAACGAAGGTAAATACAAACTTAAGGTGCTCATAGTTGACTTTGGAGTAGCCATGGCAGAAATGTACGTTGTCATGTCCCCATTTCATCAAGCTTGGTCCTTTCTCATACAATTGCCATTATGTTGTTAGGTTAAATAATGAACATAGGCGAAGGAGATCCATTTTCTCTCTCCAATCTCTTGTCGTTTAAAATTTCTACAAACATATTACAAAAATATTAATTATATAATATATTATTATATTTTTTACTAAAATACCTTTATTTATACCTTTAACTATTTCATTTATTTTTCTCTAGCATTTCAATAGTTACCTTTATAGTGTATATACATTCGTAAAAGGTGAGTTCCACTCTTATATTAAAATCTGCACATCTATTTTTGTCATCAATATTTAATAAAAATTTAACATTTAACCATGTAGAGTTACAAAAAAGAAATAATAAAATTAATAAATGATAATTGTGATAGATAGGATACAATGTTATTAATTAAATTAAACTCTACTCCTATAATCATTAATTAATTAATGGTAAAAATGGAAAAAAAATATTTAAATAAGTATTGAATTGAACAACAAAACAAAATATATGAAATGGGGAACTCTCCCATTTTAATATATGATTTTTTTTTTTTAGTTTTTTGGAAAAAAATTAAATGAAATATCAATATAATTTTGATGAAATTAAATATTAGTATAAAAATCAAATATGATGAAAGAGCATCAAATTTAAAAGTATAATAAATAAAAATAAATACGTTTACAGATTTTTTAATATATTTTTAAATTTCCATATTCATAAAATTTTAAATACATATTCTGAAGTATGTTTAATGGTAGCAATAAATTTTGGCTTTTAACAAAAATCAATTTTGTCTTGTATATGTACATGTTGTTACCCTCTATTATTTCTTCAATACTTACCTCACCCAGCTAGAAGTCGCTACTGCAATTACAATAAAAAAAAATATCACATTTTTTTAACATATTTTATATGATCAGTAAAATTTTAAAAAGTTAAAGTAATTATAAAATATATATTTATTTTACAAGATAAATATTTAACTTTTTAAAATATTAATTAATCACAAATATATATTACTAAAATTTTTCACTGAAAAGTCAGCATAACCTCAATCTCCATGCATGTGAACATAAACACAAAGCCTAACTCAATTGTGCATCAGACCCAGTCGTAGATGCAATTTCAACAATGACACTATTTTAGTACTTGGTGAAACCCAACGTATGCAGTTTCCAATTAAAATCCTCCAGTGATGTTATTCCTAAAGTTACCTAACATACATGATAATGAAGTCTCTGATATTTGTATTATTAACATGGCGTTATTAAGTTGTTTTAGATAAAATTATACACAAAACAGTGCTCAGCATAAGCTAGTTAAGCATAATATTTTTTTTTAACCCTAGTTTTTATTTTTGAGTTTAAATATTTCATAAAAGTAGGTTCTAAAATAACATATTTATTATCTTAAAAATATGATAGCCCTCAATATTTATGACTTTTTTTTACAATCAGAGGCTTAAAAGCCAAAACTAATTAGGAACTTTACTGAAACATGTAGCACCAATATATATATATATATAAACACTTTTACTTTTAAATAGTTAAACTTAACTTTAAGAATTAAGATTAATAAAATCTATAAAAATATGATAAATGCATTATTCTTAACACTTAATCTTCAAGATTAAAGTTAATATTTTCTTATTTAAATTTATAATTTTTTTAACGTGTGTTTAATATTACATGATAAGAAGTACAAAATTTAAAAAAGTTAACAAGAAAAACATTTATCATCTCAAAATTATAAAAAAATTAAACGCATATTTTTATAGTAATTTAAAATAATTAATATAGCATATTTGATTTTTTTTTAACATGTGTTATTGAGCACACATGAAAAAAAATGGTTAAATTTATATATTTTATTTTATTTTTGCGTGATCCAATTCTATTTTTTTTCAATGTGTGATCCAGTATGAACTATTGTTTTTGTCAAATAGTATGGACTTAATTATTACTGAGATTATTGGCGACATTGGGCTATGAGTGTCCACAGAGATTGGGCTTACGTTATGCCATCATATATTTGCCAAAAACTCAGTCTCCCTTCCCACTCAAATATGTCGTCGTTGATAGCCGATTTCCTCCGTCAAACAGGCGGCACCGCTGTCATCGACGGCGGTCTTGCGACGGAGCTGGAACGTCACGGCGCAGACCTCAACGATCCCCTTTGGAGCGCCAGATGCCTCTTTTCCTCCCCTCACCTCATTCGTCAGGTACTCTCCATTCGCTGTCATTCAAATTCGCTCCCACACACTAAACGCACCGTTTCTACTCTTCAATTTTATGTTCGTTTTAAATTAAATGTCTTCGCTTTCATTGTAATCACAGTGTTAATTCACATATATTAGTACTTGGTAAATTTGGGGTTCGATGAACCTGAATTTTTCTTTTTTTCTTATATTATTGTTAAAACTTGAAATGTTATTGCAATGTTAATAATTTCACCTCAATTGAATGATGTGTTTTTCCCCATTTCCCATTGCAAATTAAAATCATGATTGAGTTGCTAAATGGAGCAGGTGCACCTTGATTACTTGGAAAATGGTGCAGATATTATAATCACAGCATCTTATCAAGTGAGTTTTGTTTACCAAGGTTTAGCTGTTTCTTGTTTCTTTCTTTGTCGCTAGTGCTGAGCTTGAGGTAGTTGTTGTAACTTTGTGCACAGGCCACCATTCAAGGTTTTAAAGCCAAAGGCTTTTCTGATGAAGAAAGTGAAGCCTTGCTCAGAAGGAGTGTTGAAATTGCTTGTGAGGCTCGTGATGTGTATTATGAAAGATGTGATTCGTGCTCTTCGGGTGATGGGGATATTGCTAGAATTCTCAAACGACGCCCTATCTTGGTTGCAGCATCAGTGGGAAGCTATGGAGCTCATTTGGCTGATGGATCAGAGTACAGGTGAAATGGCTAAGATCTAGTCTTTAGCATTGGCTGTGATTTTGTTTACTTGTGATCTCGGGTATTTTTCTTATCTGTTATGTAGCCCATTTGTTGGTTAACAATCAAGATGATATTCATGATAAATTTTGATCATTTTATGTCGCACTTTCAAGGTTGCTTTTTAAGCTTTGTATCTGTTATTTTGGGACAAATCTTTCTTGCTCCTAAGAGAAATGATTTCAGAAGGTTGTCTGAAACGAATCTCATGTCTATTTAGTAAGGTTGAGGTTTGACATGTTTTTGCTTCTATTGTCAGCAGTAATAGAAATTATAATTTTCCAATTGTCATCTTTTTTTATGTTATGTTCTTAACAGTGGCAATTATGGTGATGCTATCACAGTGGAAACTCTTAAAGATTTTCATCGGAGAAGAGTTCAAATTTTAGCAGACTCAGGTGCTGATCTGCTTGCATTTGAAACAGTGCCAAATAAGATTGAGGCTAAGGTATCCTCATAAACTTAGTTCAGTCGAATGCTAATATACTCTCGGTTCTTTTTTTATCTATTCGTTTAGAAAAGTGTTTTTGTTTACTTGTCTCCTTAGAAAATCAATGAAGCATAATTTTTCTAAATTTATCCTTAATATTATTGAGTGAAATAAGATTGATAGAATGCTGATAATATTTTGAGCATTTCAATGAAAGGTAAGTCGGTGAAATGAACTTATTTTGCTTATAATTGAGGCTATTTAGTGACTTTCTTATTTCCTGTACAGTGACCTTGAAAGCCAGATAATTAACAGAACGGGTAATATTTTTCTTGATGATTGAAGAATTATTTTATTTTATTTTTTGTTCTATATTACCATGAATTACCTTAACTTTTGATGGATGTTTTCTTCGATTGAAGAATTTATCAACAAAAGCAATCCTCCACATAGGGAATCAAAAGACCTAGCAAGTTGTCATATGACATGTCTGGATAGAGAAAAGAGCAAAAACCCGCTCCTGTTGTAATATTTACACTATCTTTATTGTAATATTCCTTATTATCTATTGTTTTTTTCTTTTTAATCTCTTCCGATCCATACAGTCTTTCTGTTTCTAAAACAGTTTTCCCAACTAAATTTGGCCCAAATTCTTTCATTGCTTCACTAGACCACAAGAAATCATGAAAGCACTAAATTTCTATTCTGGAGTTTCTATTACTTTTGGGAAAGGGTGAAATTGCCAGTAAAGTAACATGGTATGATGAGTAAATCACTTTGACATATATAATCAATTGAGCTCCCAGAGAAAGTACACAATAATAAATTATCTAATGGAAATAATAGGCTTGGACATTAAAAATTTTCAAGTCATTACTTACAATGTTCATTTTGGTCTTGACTCCTAACTATACTTATTGACTAAGCAGGCCTATGCTCAGCTTCTGGAAGAAGAGGAAATAAAGATTCCAGCATGGTTTTCTTTTAACTCTAAGGATGGAATTAATGTTGTCAGCGGTGATTCTGTAGAGGAATGCAGCTTTATTGCTGAATCATGCAATAAAGTTGTTGCTGTTGGAATGAACTGTACCCCACCTAGATTTATACATGATCTCATAGTTTTGCTTAAGAAGGTAGAACTCAAATTCTCTTCTCCAACTGAATATGATGTGTGTAGACTAATTGTTGAACTTTATTTTACACTTCATAAATTCATAATATTTTGTTTCTATCAACCACTCCTCCTCCCTTACTTCATCTTAATATGCAGTTTCAGCTCTAGAAGTGTCAGTATCCACATTGCTAAGCTATTTTCACTTTGATAAGTCACATACATTTGGGTGGATAATAAGTACTGATGGATGTTAATATATAGGTTCTAGAGTTACATAATATCGTAAATAGCTTTCAACCCTTTTTTCAAATGAAGGCAGTTTGTATGAATGGAGACTGCTTTGTCTAAAGTACTTAACCTAAATACCGTCATACAGTTTTTACAACAATGTGCAACTTTTGTCTTTTGCAATATAGATAATGTCTTTTTTCCCTTGTTTTATGTGTTACCTTCATATAAGGAAATGTGCCAGGGTTAATAAACTATTATATTATTACAGTTATGATACTTGTCTTCATGGAACACTTATCCTTGATTCACGTATAATATCTTCAGGTGACCACAAAACCAATTGTTATATATCCAAACAGTGGGGAAACTTATGATGCTGACCAAAAGGAGTGGGTGGTAAGTTCGTTTCATCTGGTTGACTGTTACATTTTAAAGACAGGCTGGTCTACTTTTTCTTAAAATAAAAAATTGAACAAAAATCTATTATAGAATATAAAGGTGTGTTATCTAAATTATCATATGAAAAATTGAACCACTATGCATTGGAAAATTGGATTGTGGAAATTATTCTGCTTGCACTAAAGCAATTCATATACTGTCAAATAAAACAAAGGTTGTAAAGGCAAACTTAATTAAAGAGTAACAGTACATAGGCATGTGCCTATTCCTCCCTTCTCTTTTCCTTTTAGGTGAAATCATTTTGTTCCTTTTTATTAAAACTGTACAACCGATTCAGAAACTGTTTGTGTGTGATTTATCATTTAAAATAAAAAGTTACTTAGAAGGAGTTTTAAGTGTAAGCGGTAGGAATTGGAATAATAGTAGTCAATCTCGAATAGTGGCGCGGAGCAGCTGATCCGAAAAACGCTATAGCGGCATAGTGAATAGCAGGATGGCCACTATTTTGAAGTTCTAAATATTGTACCTAATATAAAAATAATATCCAAAGCAGAGAAAAATAAAAAACAGAGATGGAGATAAAAAACAGAGAATTGGTCAGTCACTAGAAAATGTGCAGGTTCGTCGGATGTTTTATTAGAGATGAAGAAGATGACCGGAAATACTTGGATCACATTGGAAGCGTTGTCGGAGTTGAAGAAGACAATTAGAGATGAAGACGACCGGAACACGTCTAAGTTACATCAGAAGCTTTGCTGGAGACGAAGAAGTAACCGGAGGACGACTTTGTCACTTCAGAAGCCTTGCTGGAGATGAAGAAGGACATCTAAGCAAGAGAATGTCGCAGAGAACGGAAATAGGGAAGAACGAACCAGAGAACTGAGAGACGAAAATGAAAACTTAGGGCTCGTGAGGAAGAAAATATCAGAAATGTAAAAGAGAGCGAAATCCCAAGATTACCCCCATTTAAAGATGTCCAACGTTAAGAAAGCAAGGGCAAAGTCGGGTTTTGGCCAGGGATGAAATAGTGGCCGCTATGGCTGCGATTCTCCAGCAATTTGGTGCTATTCGTGGCGCGATGGCCAGTCCACTGAAACGCGACGCTATAAGCTCTCCATAGTGGCAACCGCACCGCTCCTCTGCTATTGACTACTATGATTGGAATAACAGATCTCACATCCTTTTATTAATAATTGTATACTAGTAATCAATGTTTTAAGGGATAAGGGAAAGTAAAATTGGATGCCAAGAGTAGGATCTTCCTCTCTACTACTAATTTGTGTATTGTGTTATAAATTTGGGCAGATTTGTCATTTAATCTTGCATGGGTAATTGATAGATTTGTGGAGATCTTGATATTAATGTGTGGGCTCATGTTGGGAAGGTTTATGCATTGAACATTTTTCATAGAGGCTATTAATTAATGATGTTTAGCCTGTGCAAATTTCTATATTGCATAGAGTGCATGTAACATTGATATGATAAAAAGTTAATGGAACCTATATATGTACATGAATGCAGAAAAGTAAAAGTTTGTGCATAACCTAACCTTAAAGCCGTTTAACAAGTTATGCTTATCTAGTTTATTATATCATTATGAGTTTATGGAATTGATGATTTGTTGAAGTTGATAATTACTTCATATTGTATATCATTATCTTTGTGAGAGACCAAATGAAGCATGGAAATAATTTATTTTAGATTCAATCAATTAAAAGAAAATATTTTGGGATATTTCTTGAATTATGCAGTAATGATATTATGTTGTGATTGTTGCAGCAAAATACTGGTGTTACAGATGAAGATTTTGTCTCGTATGTGAATAAATGGTGTGAGTTAGGGGCTTCCCTTGTAGGTGGCTGTTGCAGAACGACTCCAGCTACTATTAGAGGGATATACAGGACACTATCCAACAATCAATCTGCTATTCTTGCCACCAAGTGACTGTCCTGACATCTGAAAAGAGGCCAATGCGCAGTTGATCAATCTAATTTATATGTCAAGAACGTTTGCAGCTGCACTGGGTCATTTTGCTACTTTGGGCTGAGATGGGACGATGAATATGATTTGACCAATTGGTGAAGATATTCATATGCATTTCCAATGCAGCTTGGAACATACTTTGCCCTTGGAGCTAGAACTTGAAAATCGCATCAAAGATCAGGGGAAAGATGTGCGTTTTCCTTTTCTTTTTTATTTTAGTTAAAGACATGGCTAATAATTGACATGAAAACAGTGTGGGGTTGTTAGGTTGGCTAATCATAAGATGGACCATGGACATGGCCACTTCGCATTTCCGTTGAGAAGTGAGTTTAGCCACTTGGATTTTGGCCCTTGGCCAGTTTGATTTAAAGTTGTATAGAAATTAATTTTGATAAAATTGTTTTTAAGTTGTCGAATATAATTGGAATATATGTATAAATTAATCTGAATTATGTTTTTATTGACACGTTTTTTTTATTAGAAACTGTTAAGATTGATTTTTCAACTTTTAAACAAACGTTGACCCAAAAGCAGACTTCTAAACAAACATAACTTGATTTCAACTGCAGTTTGTCTATTGGAGCGTGTCTGAATTCTATTTCAATGGTAAACAAACAAGTATGTTTGACAAAAAAAAAAGTATGAAGCAAAATTTGCGAACTATTTCCTAATGAAATAAAATGTGTTGCACATACATGATATTTATTATTATTAATATTATTATTCAGCACTATTTAGAATGATAAGTGACGTTAATTATGAAAAAATTGAGTTATTATTTAGTTAGCGTTTTGTTCAGAGACAAAAATACAGAAATATACGTATCATGTTTGACTAGTATTTCCTAGTGTTTGATTCAAAGATAGAGATATTGAAATAATTATATGAATATGCGTATTATGTTTGATTAGCGTTTCGCTAGAGAGACAGAAATACAAAAAAATATGTAGAATACAAATTCAAAGAATATTAATGTTCTAACTCCAAAGACACGGAAGTTATACTTTTGAAAACTAAAATACTCTTGATAAGAGAAATCAAGAGTAGGATAATCATTTTATATTTTTTTTATCTTATCTCTTACATCTAAAAATAATATAAGACACAATACACAATATCATATTTTCACTTCTAAACACAATACACATACATAAATATTCAGAACGGTATCCAAAAGCTTTCAAATACTATTATTTTGCATCATATAATATGCTTTCCGTTTGATCAAAGCATTGAACAACCCGGCCAACATATGACCTCCCTTTTACTTATTTGAAGGCAAGATCCGTTTGCAAAACTTATTACTACTTAATTTCATATTTGTTAGTAACTTGTGGCGCCACAAAGAGGGCCATTGTTGGATTATTATTTTTCATTATAATAGTGTTAAAAAGAGAGATATTGTAGGAGCCTAGAGAACGTTATTAATGTAATTTATTGTCGTAGTTGTTGTGTACAAATTTATTGCGTAAAGGTTTGAGAGAAGATCCAAGTGTTAAATGTGCGCATATGAGTTGCATCGGCTTATAGTACAACGTACAGTGAGGAATAACTACAAATAAATAGTGATAAATGGACAACTATTATTTAACAACTATTTCAACTCTCTCCGTTGAGTGCTAACGTAGCTAATTCGAGGGTGGTGTATTTAAAACATTGAATAAGCTACCCAAAATAAGTGAACTGCTTCGTCTATACATTCATGCCCTAAAAAATTTAAAAAGTTTCTTATATTTTTCTCCAATTAAAATTAAATTTATATTTTAACAATTTAGTCAATAAATATTAATATTAAAAATTAATACATATTAATAAAGTGAAATTTCAAACTTAATAAAAAAATAACACAAAATATTTATAATATTACAATCAAAAATTTTTATTTTTTTTACAATGGTATTTCTTATATTTTTGAATATATATGAACAAAAATTAAGTATAACTTTTTAATTACTTTTTGTTTGTTGTTTTCAAATGAAAATTTAAAATATTTAATATTATGAAAGTATTGAATTTTATGATTTTTAGTAAAAAATATTTATATAATTTTTTATTATCTACTCTTAAATACACATTAAGAAAATAAAAGTACATCTGAGTTTTTTCCGGTGTATATTTACAAAATTTATGAAAATTTCCTTCTGATGTTAAGTTGTGTGGAGGCTACATGAAATTAATAATCAATCTCCCTCCTTTCCTGGTTAAGGCAAGCAATATGCTAAATAATAGTTAAAGTTTACTTAAGACATCGCATTTTTAATTTAGTCTTTAACTTAAGTAGTAGCAACGAATCCAGCTTACTCAAATTAGATTTAACTCTAGATCTGAAGTTTAGTTTAATAAAAAAATTATTGTTCAAATCAATTTGACAGACATTTTACTTCTATTCAAAGGTTTAAAATAAATTTAATCAAATCAATTCTACTTAGTTTGAAAATAAATGAACCTTAGATGTGTGTGGAAAATTTTCAATTATAGAAATATATTTTTTTACATCTTGAAGACTGTCTCGTGTACAAAAGAATGTGCCCATCGATGTGTACCATGCATCTCACTTAAGAATTGTTCTTAATCATATAATTAACGGTAAAAGACCACACCATGCTATGGGTTTCCAAAACAGTGATTGCTGAGGGGGTGAAACTGGTTTTTTCAACATATGTTTTGTGTGGAATGATCATTAGATTAATGAAACAAGATATGGAAGAACATGATATTTTTGTAATATTAAAATCATGAGCTTACTGAATCTTCTGTAGTTTAATGTGATGACGGGGGAATTAATGTTACTAAATTGTTAGAGTGTATGAACAATCACAGTGGTCAAGACAGGTATTGACAGCATAAAACAAACTAAAATGGTACAAACCAAGAAAAGTAAAATTAAAAAAACAAAGTGAACATTTTAAACATGAACAGTCAAGAACATATCATGCATAACTATAAACTTGAAAGCATTGTTTTGCATGCGAAGATTGTGCATTCTTTTGTCTGTTTTGTACTGCCAGGATAAAGTATAGAATCCAAAAAAGTAAAAATAAAAAATAACCACCTTTATTTATAGTAATCTTACGCGAGTGAAATATTTTTACTATGAGGATCACTTTCCAAATCAGGCTAAGATTAAAGTCCTATGCACACGATGTCATTTTCCTAGGTCCTCTAGGTGTGTATCCTCTGCAATATATCATTAAAACATCTTGAAGAGTACAGCATGTTTGTGAAAATTTCTGATAGGAGAAACAATGATGTTGTGTAGACACAGTTGCGAAATTGTACCTTAAACTGGCATAACATATAAGTAGCAGTGACGTACGTGATGATCCAACATGCAAGAAAGGGTTGCATGCGTGGGTTTGGACTAGCAAAAGATAAAAGGAATTAAAGAGGCAAAGCATAGCGTAGCATAGCAAATATCTTTTGCATAGTTCATTGAAAACGAGGAAAGGGACTATGTTACTAAAGCATAATAACCGAAACTGTTTAGGTGAAAATTGAAAAAACCCATGTCTCAATTTTCTAACCCACGGTGAAAAGCTTCACATCAATATCAACATCAATATCAGTCTTATAAAGTCAACTATATTTTATTTTATTTTATTATCTGTCTTAAGTTTTAATATTTTCACCGAACTGCAAGTTATTTATGTAATTCCAACAACCCAAATGCTGCATGATTTGTCGTTAACGTGAGTTTGGCAAAGCATATGATGTTGTACAGATACATGCTGAGGTTTCTTTGCTCCAAAAACTATCCATCCCTGCCTGGGCTTCTCTGCACTGTTCTGCTTTACAACTTCAATGTTGGTATGGCCCCATTCTTGCATTCCATTTACTGTGCACATTGCTGTTTCTGCTCCCAACACCTACAATTATCCATGCATGCAGTTAAAAAGGTGCAGGCAGTGTAATTGAACGCTAAATATTACCGCCTCTACTTCTATTTATAAAAATCAATCAATATTTTTTAAATTATAAAAATTTGTTTTTAAATGTATTAATTAATAATTTTCATACATTTTTTTATTGTGAGATTGTTGTTAATAAACTTTTTACTTTTTACTCATGTAAGTGGATATATTTGTTCATTCCATGTATAAGATATTCATTAATACTATGAATATGTTTAGAATATAATATAAATTTATAATATATAACTATTTTTATTAATTTTGATAAAATAAGCATTTGCTTCTTGATTTGCACAAATTATGTATAGTTCAAAATATAAAATATGACAAAAACTGATACTCTACCTTTTCTATTTTCCTAACATTATTACTATTAATAATATTATATTATTATGGAAAGAAGGTATGCTGAGCTTATCAAACTTTTTAATTTAGAAGCAATCATTATTGAAGTTACAAATATTGAAAAAAAAAAAAAAACACACACACACACACACACAAAAGGCCCACGTAAGATCTGTATTAAGTAAGAGCTCCTAGGTTGACCTGCATGCACTTATTAAACAGTATTTTATTTTACGAAACCGGGGATATTCTTTCCGTTTATTTTTATTTGTATACTTTAAATTTATATCTATTTTGACTATTTTAAAATTTAAGAAAATATTAATGATTATTTTAAATTATATTTATTTATTAACATTTTAATAATTTATATAGTTATTATAAAAAATAAAATTAATTTTTAAAAAAATTAATATAAATAAAAATATTCATTATATGTTTTAATTTAAATGTTATCTTTAAAGGTGAATAGATAGAAGAAGATAGAAAATATTTTTTACATTTATTTCGTTGTAAAATAATCACTTCAGTTTTTCAATTTGATCCTTAAATTTTCTAAGGCTTGCGTGCCCTTATTAAAAATAAAAGTTTTATTATGCATACAATTCTTGTATATATTTTGTGTCCTCATAAAAAATATAACCTTGTCTCATGTAGTAGGGTAGCTTCAAATCTCCCTTTTGAGCTTTTGTAACAAGTCCGGGCCATCCTTAACGTTTTTGTCCTGCTGTTCCATCTCTTAAAAGAATCTTGCTGGTCGTTCATTATGATTAATCTAGCTTGGTGCACATAAATTTATCTACGTACCACTTTATTGCAATTAAATAAAAACGTATTAAATTGACACATGATAAGTTCCATCTTATGTGTATGTGGAAAAGGGTGTCCTGTAGTGTGATTATAACTTAACATCTTTAGTGTGCTTTCCATTATTCAAATAAATAAATCGTTGAGATTTGAGGAAAAAAGTTTGTAATATTCTGCCGTTCAAGTAATGGCCCATGATTGAGCAATGTTAACTCCAAGTTTTGATTGACCGAGAAAAGAAGTTTTATGATGATAGAGGAGTAATGACTTATTAACAATAAGATTTTGTTTTTAAAAAATAATTATTACCCATTTGTATCTTCAATATAATAAATATATCTTTTATTGAAAATCAATAACTAAGTATTAACTCGTGTTACATCAATGAGAAAAAAAGTATTAACTCTTGTGTTGATCCATAGTCCATATCAACATTAATATTTTGTACGGTGAGGAAATACGTATGTATAAAAATGTAGTTGAGAAAGTAAAAGCCATGATGTTTACATAAGTATCTATATCACCAAGTACAAGTGTACAACAGGACCAGTACATCTCTCCTTTGCCAGATTGTGAAGAAAATGTCAGGGAAACAAAAATCTAAAAAAAAAGAAGAAAGAATCAAAAGCCCAAATTTGACACCTTCAAATCAAACGGCTGTGAGGTGGTGAAGGACAAAAGTGAAGTGCGGTAATAACAAAGGATTTTTCAAAGCTGCAAAAGCAAAAGAAATGGAAAGTGACTCCGTTCCATCCAAGAGAAGAAGATGTAACTTACTTTTACTAAAGTACAATCAAAGATAATCCTTTGACTGCCTCGTTAATCTATCAATCATTTTGTTACCTCATTCAGAATGAACTCAGCACGATTTTTTTTGTTTAATTTTGAGAAAGCTATTGTCTTACACATACACTTGCATATAAGTCAATCAAAGTAATTAAAAAAATACTGCTAACCAATGCTATAGAAGTATATCTTAATAAAAAATATATTGAGATGTATCAAAATTACAAGAAATGTATTACATTTTTTAATAATATTTTTTATTTTTAATTCTTTAACCAACATGCTTAAAATACTTGTTGACATTTCTCTTATCGGGTTATAGAAATCTTTCTCGTGTACGTAATTTATATTACGGGTCCATGGTTTTTCCATGTAATTAAATAAAAATATCATTTATACATTCTTATCTTTATTTTAGTAAAAACAAAAAAATATAATTCTCAAAACACTTCCTTTTTTCTCTCTCACACAAGTATGTGTAGTAAAAGATGTTAACAAATGTTGTAAAGAAACATTTCTATTTTAAAAAATATTGTTTCACGCATAAATAATTTCAATCGTTTGGAAAAACAAATAATAGTTTACATTGTCCTCTAATATCAAATATATCATTCTTAAAAAACAAAGGAATATATTAGGAAGTGAAAAGCACAGTATTGTGAACATGAATGAAGATCATTTATTGTAAATAATTTCATTTCTTATAAATAACTTAATGTTCACGTGGCAGATATAGTTCAAGGATACTCCTCTGTGCTAGTTGTGTAAATTTATTGTAGAAAATGATTACCAGAAAGGGAGGGAAGGAAAGACCCTGATCAATGATCACAGATATTTCATTATTGAATCCAATAATAGGGTGCCCCCTTGTGGATGATAAATCCAAATCCTCTTGACAATTTAGTATCTACTAGGTAGCAACTTTTCTCTAGGCAGTTTAGAAGATTCAAATTGTAGGGTAAACGCTACCCCTTTTAGTTATGCATGCCATGAATTGGGCCCATTCACATTTAATTTGACACTGGCCTTTCTTGTAAGCGTCATTGACACTATTATGAGGGGAACAGAGAAAAAAGGAAGAAAATATGCAATGGTGACCTTTCACCTATCAGATTTGGATATATAGTTCTCAGCTAATATTGTGCATTATCAAGCGCATAAGAATTAAGAGCCCCAGTTCCCCAAATGAAAATGTTTTCCCTATCTTGTAACCCATTGTCTGGCAAATAATGATTCCTAAGACAATTTACATGAAGAGAAAAAAAGGGCATTTTTCTATAACATCATTAGGTCATAGACCGCACAAACAACCTCATATATCATATGAAAAATTCATGCCTGACTAGTTAGCTATAGGTGCAATTCACAAGCATTTATTTGTTATTGACAAAATGGAAACACATCTAACTCTGAACAAATTTTTGGTATTCCTGTAACATTTGTTTCCTTTTTGTTGTCTTTCTTTAATATATTTTTTAATTAAGAATAATGATACATAAAAGGAGAAGGGAATATATGTATTTATTTTCTCTCAAACTATAATCCTATAACAACGTGACACGTGCGTAGTTAGAAAATTTCGGACAATCACATGCACTGGCCTTGACAACCTATGCACTGTTGGGGCTAAGGCTTATATGGTAGTGGAAGCTTCACTGAAGCTAGTGGGTCACTATGTTGGGTTCATTTGAAATTTCAACTGGAGGATTGAGCTACGGTTCTTAATTTGATTATTCTTGAATAGATTCATGATTTGAAGTTTTTAACACCCAAACGTACTTGCTGATTAATTATAAAATGCAAAAGGTCATTGAAAAAGAACTTAACTAAGATTTTATATAGATAGTTTTACAAAAGTCAAGGAAATCATGTTTTCAGGTGCGTTAAGTAGGGAGATGAACTGTATATACTATAGTTGAGAATAAGCAATGGCCAAACATGATCTTACATTAATGTGAAGGAATAATATTATTTTAACAACACATTTTTATAATATTTTTTATCTCACTCCCATTATATTATTATTAATTTTCTATCTTATGTTTTTCTTTCTTACTTCACTTCTTAATGTAGAAATTATCGTGATAAAGGTGATGTTAAAATAGTATTAATGTGAAAATATGGACATAAACATGCAGTTTAATGAACGACGCGTCACCACATGCAATGCATATACACTAATTCATGTGTAAGTGTTAGCTTGTACAAAATAAAAAGTAGTCAATTAATACAGGATCCGTTATTTGGAAAAAATTCCCTTTTGTCTTCTTGGACTTGATGAACCTATGATTCGCACAAAAACAAAAGCAGAAGCTCATTTGCATAATAATATTGATATTCAAAAGCTAAAAATGAAATTTTTGAGGAAGCATAGATGTTCTGTAGCTTGTAGAACCAAGAAGGTTATTCAAATCTGCCAACCCCAACACACACAACACGAGAGAATAAAAAAACATAAAACATCTCATTTACATAAAAAATGAAATATATTCACTCATGGCAAATTCATCAAAAGTTTTGATAAAAGTACAAATTACAAAATACTGGCCTTGGAATCAGAAGTAGTTCTCCACTTTTCCTCCAAACACGAAACATATATTCTCTTCAACTAGGCCAACACACCCGATGCAAATATGATATTATACCTAATGAGGTAGATTCAAACCCACCCTTGAACCCTGATATTATCGCTTTTACACATCCAAAAAAATGGTGGACAAAGAGAAAAATATAAATGATTTTTGTCGTGTGTATGGATAACAATGTTAGAACAAGGAGAGAAGTTAAAGAAGCAACAACAGTGATCCTCTTTATCTTTTTTCTCTTCTTTAACTGCTTTCTCCCCCCCTACAAGACCAAATGTAAGATGGGTCACCAGTGCTTGGATATTAAGATTCAAACCTAACTTTACTGACCATGGCACAACTACTAGCCTGGAGACTCAAGTTTGATAGTATTCTCCACTCGTAATCTAATCTGTAGGAGTTAGTTAATATTTAAGTAAATCTCACTTTATCACCTGAGATTATAAATACAAATCACTTTAATTGTCTACTTTACAAAATATTGTTCACTTTGATATTAATATCGGTAAAAAAAATATAATAAAAAAATATAATAGAAGATTTTATACTAAAGTGAGGATGATACTTATAATATCAAGAGAGGGTTTTCTGATTAATATTTATACTTACAGAATTATTGTCAAACTAAACCATGTCAAATGACAAATAAAGAAAGATAAAGAATGAGTCGAAATTAATATAATTTTATGATTTAAATATTTGAATATTATTTGCGTGCGGCTGGACAATGTGAGTGGGTTACCATGACTCTAACCAATGCTGCACCCTCCCTCCCTCCCTCTCTCTCTCTCTCTCTCTCTCTCTTCAAGTCAGTAAGGTTGGGTGGGTGAGGTAGGCCTTGGTTTTGCGGTAAAAGGCTGAGAGAGAGAGAGAGAGAGAGGCTTGCCTCCACTCTTCTTTCATTATTCCCTTCAAATTCGCTGCTTTGTTTGTTCTCTGTACCCACAACGAGGTTTCTCCAACTCTCTCTCTCTCTCTCTCTCTCTGTGTCTTATTCTATTCTATCTACCCCCTAAGATCTCATTCTCTTCAACTCTTACTCCACCCCTTCCACTTTTTTCTCATTGCTTGATCTTCTCTACCCTCAAAGTCTTCAACTTCACAAGTGGGCCACCATTTCATCATCTTTTGCTTCTTCAGCTTGCCTACTTCATCCCATTGCCTTGATCATCAAACCAATTTTTCCCTCCTTTTTTTTACCTGTTTGAACTTTGAACAGAGAGATAAAACCAAAACATGAAACTTAACAGAAATTAAGATTGTCGGGTCCTGATATAAAAACTTGTCTTCTACTTACATTCACTCACTTCACTTTATTGTTTAAGCAAAACGCAAGAGAGTAAGGAAGAAGGAAGATATATTGTGACATCAATTGAGTACCTTTGCTTTTGTGAATAAGGAAAGCTAAGCTATATGAAGTTGTCCCAACAATGAGAGATGAGAATTCGAAGAAAGGCAAGGTTAAATGCCACTTCTACTTCAAATTCATTTGCATTTGATTCCTGGGATTGGCATTGCTTAATTACCCTGTTTTTCTTGGTAAAGCTTTCTTGGCCAAAAACATTGGTCAAGAAGTGGTTCAATATCAAGAGCAAAGCTGAGGACTTTCAGGCAGATGAGGTTCCCTGCGAAGGTGATTGATCAATTTTGTCGTCACTTTAATGTAATATTGATTTTAGGGCCACTAGGATTGGGAATCTTAGCTTTCATGTTAAAAATAATAATAGAAAAAACTTCTGCTTCTATTTCAACATAATTTTTTTTTTTGTCTGTTTTAATGGGTATGCTACATGAGCACAAGATCTGCTCTTTGTTGTTTTCTGCTTCCATGGTTTCTACCCTTTTGGTATTTAAAATAAATTTGCTTTATTTTGTTGTTTTATATTCAGTAGGATGATAAAATAACCGTGGAAAGAGCACAGCTTTGTTACTTTATGGTTTTTCTTTTTCAGGTGTTGATGAAGAGTGTAGGAGCAAATACTCAGAGAGGGAGGCATGCACTATCAAGAAAAGCAAAACAGGTTCAGTATGTTCACCTTCATATCTCTTAGGACCACACCATTCCAACACCCCCCCCCCCCCAATTTGATCAGGATAAAAAGAAATTTAGACCACACTTTTGTTCCACAATTTCAGAAATCTATTGTTCTTTCTTCTTATTCTTATTCTTTTTTCTTTCCTACTCTTTTTTTTCCTACTAATCTCATATGTTTAATCTCCATTTTGATACATAGAGAGATCAAGCAGAAGGTACTCAGACAGAATGCGAAGAGGTAAGAATGACCTTGATGAAGCTCAGGTTACAGATGTGTATAATTATAGGTATGCTTCAGGTAGCTGTGTATTGTACCTATTTATCTGCTTGTTATATTGTAATGAAAGTTATGAATTTTTATTCTATTGAGTTTTCCCCCCTTTCTGGATACAGAATCTTTGTTGCCACTTGGAATGTAGCAGGGAAGTCACCTCCAAGTTATTTGAGTCTTGAAGATTGGCTTCATGCCTCTCCACCTGCTGATATCTATATTCTTGGGTAAATTACTGATCATATAATGCGTCATGTCCTTTAGTTATGAAGGGTTCACACTGTGAAAACATTTTGCATTTTCTTGGACTCAGGTTTCAAGAAATTGTACCTCTTAATGCTGGTAATGTTTTGGGAACAGAAGATAATGGACCTGCGAGAAAATGGCTGGCTCTGATAAGGAGGACCCTGAACAGCCTTCCTGGAACAAGTGGTGGATGCCACACTCCTTCACCACTCCCTGATCCTATTGTAGAGCTAAATGCTGATTTTGAGGGATCAATGAGGCAGAAGGCAACCTCTTTCTTTCAACGGAGGTCCTTCCAATCCTTGAGTCGTAGTATGAGAATGGATAATGACATGTTAATGCCTCAAACTTGCCTTGATCGCCGTCTCAGTGTCTGTGACAGAATGATATTGGGTCACAGGACGAGTGACTATGACCCCAATTATCGATGGGGTTCATCAGATGATGAAAATGGCACTGGTGACTCCCCAATTGCAACACAGTATTCACCAGTGTCATATGGCGGTTGTTTCTCTATGGAGGACAGTGATAGACCAACAGGGCACTCAAGATACTGTTTGGTTGCTAGTAAGCAAATGGTTGGGGTATTTCTGACTGTTTGGGTGAAAAGTGATATCAGAGATGATGTTCACAACATGAAAGTGTCTTGTGTTGGTAGAGGGTTGATGGGATATCTTGGAAACAAGGTACATTTGGCAATTTATTTTAATAGCAAAGTTTGTAGTGAACTAGGGAAGGAAACAATTTCATTCTCTTGGACTTTCCAGGGATCAATATCAATTAGTATGTCATTGCACCAAACAAGCTTTTGCTTCGTCTGTAGTCATTTGACTTCTGGACAAAAGGATGGTGATGAGCTAAGGAGGAATTCAGATGTAATGGAGATTCTCAGAAAGACAAGGTTTCCTCAGGTCCATGACATGGGTGATGAGAATTCTCCTCAGACAATTCTGGAACATGAGTAAGCCCCTCATCTCTACTCCTAATCTTTACCATGCTTCTATTCTTGCCTTCTTGGAGATTGTAAATAAACTTCTGGTTTAATTGGTGTAGTCGAATAATTTGGCTGGGGGATTTAAATTATCGGATAGCCCTTTCTTACCGTGCAGCAAAAGCTCTTGTTGAGATGCATGATTGGAAGACTTTATTAGAGAATGACCAGGTTTGATACTTTGTCCCCTTACAAGTAATTCTAATTTGAATTTGCCCCTTTATCATATTACTTCTAAGATTTACCTGACCATTTTGATATTGTTTTTCCTTTCAGCTGTGTGTAGAGCAGAGGCAAGGTCGAGTCTTTGAAGGATGGAATGAAGGGAAAATATATTTCCCTCCCACGTATAAGTATTCAAACAATTCAGACAGATATGCAGGTGATGACAGACGCTCAAAACAAAAGAGAAGAACTCCAGCATGGTAATCCTCTTTCTTGGAAATAACCTCCTGTGTGAATCAATGAAGTGGCAACTGTAGGGGGGAAAACAAATAAATGATACTATTCACAAATTAAATGTCCTGAGTCATTATTTTGAAACTATAACGTTATTTATGTAAATCTAAGCGAAATATTTATTCATGAAGGTGTGATCGCATCCTGTGGTATGGAAGAGGCCTTCACCAATTATCTTATGTTCGTGGGGAGTCAAGATTCTCTGATCATAGGCCAGTTTATAGTATATTCTTGGCAGAAGTTGAGTCTATAAGCTGTAACCAAATAAAGAAAAGCTCCAGTTCAAGGATTGAAGTAGAAGAGTTATTGCCACATTCACATGGTTATAGCTACACCGATTTGAACTTATTTTGATGGATGCCTACAATTCTTATGCCATGAGATCAACTTGACTAATTTAGGGAGCTGAAACAGCAAAGTGTACCACACAAGGTAAGACACTTCAACAAGAAAATTGCATCAATTTTCCCTACCTTGCTTGGACATCCTTTAGAATTTGGCTTATGAAAAATTGAATTCTACTTTGCTATTAATTGTATTTTCTACAATTTCAAAATTCAATGAAGGTCAAGATCCAATTTGCACAGGACTTCTAACCGGTCTTTGTCTGCAAAATTAGTTAGGTAAGTGTTAAATAACCATATACTTTAGTTTTAGCTATACCTACTTTCTCCAATAAGATAAACAATGTAGACCATAAATCCATTTCATGAAATAAGTACTTATAATATACTGTCAATTCTTGTCTTTTTGAGTGTGCATAAGTTCATAAAATAAGTATTTCAGAGATTTCTCGACAGCAATGGATTTGACCACTTTGTTCATCCTAATAAAGTTTCTAGTTGAGGTGTCATGCAAGCCTTATCTTATCCTTGACTTGGGGCCCTCCTCTTGTAGGTACGCATTGCTGTGAGGAAATGCCAGCCACAATGGTGATTGAGACATTCTGTTACCCTCATAATCCCAAAGAAGGTTGTCCTTTGCCCTCTTTCATTTTCTCAGCTTCTCTGTAATTTTTCTTTCTAAAACTGCTAAATCTTCTCCATACCTCATTGCTGCAGCTGCCGAGTTTTATGGGTTTGCCAACAACTACTTACTATGGATATTTGCGCCTCACAATCTTATTGGTAGAGTAACGGCTATGTGGGTCAAAGAAAACATATAGCATCTCAATTCTCTTGAATGAGATCATGTAACTAAAATGAACTCGTCTTATAACATAGTGGAGAATAGGAAGTAGTAGTTTTAGTTCATCGCTATGAGAAAAATTAATTTTCTCGCCTTTGTGATTTTTGCAGGATTTCAAGATTCAAACGGTGTGTATGATTCAACTTATTTTGAAGAAATAATCGCTTATTTTTGTAAGTCTTCTATGAGAACTTTTGTAAAATAAGCAATTATTTCTCAAAATTTAATTTTTTTCAAACATGCAATAAGGTATTTGACTTATTCTTTAACACAATTGAAATAAATCAAGGAAATATTTGCACTCCTCGTTAGTTATCTAACTCATCCTATTATTTTCTTGTAGTGGCTATCGATTTTAATGAGAATTATTCAAGCTAACGAGTAAAGTCTACGTTGTTTTCGATGTATCTTTTTCTTTTTCTGAATAAGATGTAAGTTGCAATAATAAGGAAAAAGGAAATACACTACTTGCATGGCTTTGTTGGCTTTTACTAGTAAATCATTATTTGTACCCAATTCAAAATTTGACCCCATTTTTTTATCCTTTTGTTTCATTCTGATTCGGGCATGATTCTTTGAGCAGCATCAATTCAGCTTCAGTCAATGTTTATTCTTAAAGGAATAATTTCAATTCACATAATGTTAACATGCATGATTTTGTCTAAATAATTTTTTCACACCAAAAGGAAAAGCCTGCAGTCCTTTATTGGATAGTATGGTTTAGAAATTTTCGTGATAAATTTCGAAAAAGATAACCCAATAAGGAATAACAAAATTGTTTTAGCTATGTAATAGAAAGAGGTGTACGTAGCAAAGTGTACTTTTCATTGACTAACGATTGATCGGTTGAGAGAAGATCCCAATAATGACTAAGGTCTAAGTTGTCAAAATCTAAAATATGGACCACCATAGAGGATGCAGCTTCCAACAATATATTTTTTAGTAAACGAAGTGTTGTCAAGGACAAAACCACCAATGAATTTGATTCCCAATGCATATACCCTATCTCCTGTTCACAAAGTGTTAACCATCACTTTTTTTACAAAATTTTTAGTATTAGACAATTTTTTTTGTGAGGTTCATTAAATATATGAATCTTAATTCCAATTTAGTGTATTAGAAGTACATGTGTTGTTAGCATTTCTTTTTTTCTTAATAAATTAATAAATACTAATTGTTCTCAACAAAAAAAATTAAAAAGAAATTCTTTGATAATCGCTTTATTTTTATTTAAATATCCTAACGCACCATCGGAAACCCAAAAAAGACAGAAGGTTAAGTGTGGAACTAAAGGCAATTAACCTAACATTTTAAAGTACATAACCTGAATGAACCTTTGTCTCAAAGATGATTCCAGCGGGCCAAAAGTTGCAAGGGGGGAATAAGGATATCGAATACCACTGGTTTATGCTTAGTGAAGCAGAGTCAGAGAGCCTGCTTCTCAAGGACACAAAATCTTAAGCAAATGCACCAACAAAGAGGATTTCAACAGCAGAAAACTACAATTCGACGGTGGGAAGGAATGCTTCCCCTCCACCCCTCCAAAAACAGAAAAAGAGCAAGAAAAAAATATTCTGACACTCTGTATAAAGTGGATGGAGGAAAGAGAGATTAAAAAAAAATATAAAATAAAAATTATGATTAATTATATAGTAGAAAAGGAAGAGATTGAAAAAAAAAATAAAAAAAAAATGAATGTAAGAGAAAATAAGAATGAATCTTCTTTATGACAAGAGGGGCAACGGCTTTCCCAAACTTTTTTCAAAATTTATATATATACACGTATTAATATAAATTTTTGTTTTGACTTTAGTGTGTTGATAGTGATAATAAAGAGTCTGGCTTTGTACCCCAAAATAAGAGAGTCTGGCTTGCAAGTTTAAAGATTACATGAATTACTCTAATTATGTTCTTTTAGCCGAGCTTTTGACTGTAAAATATGTATCATAATATATGGATATTTGATTGGCATCATACTAATGGTTCCTCCATGGCTTTTGTTGAAGTTACGCCACTGGGTTGAATTGAGTGCATGCAATGGTAAGTGATATCATTGTTGGCGTAAGATTACAACTCAGTTAACCTTGTATGGCCCATTTCTTCATGCATTCCCGTGCATGCAGAACCTCGTTTTTCCCCCCCTGCCATTCTCTAGTTTAACTTATGGTGAATTGCTGAGCCCTGTCGTCCTACCATCACGCAAATCCTTTCCATTTCTTTGTTTATGTCATTACCCTTGTGTCTCAGAATTCATAAATGACTATGTTCTCCGTGGAAAGAGTTTCTCCCTCTGACAAATTACATCATCTTACATCAACATATATTGTGGAAGTGAGTTGGAGTAGATTATATTCCTATGGATCCATGCATGCATGATGCATGTGCTTTATTTGTCAGCATTAATTCGTCAACATGCATTCACAGACTCTTCTATTTGTTACCTAAAAATAATAGCACTGAAGATCTATAACTTAACAACTATGATATATAAATATCCCGACATTATCATCACTCAATTAACACTCTTCATCTCTATTACTCCCTCCTTATTCCATCAGATCACTTATCCCGTCCATCATTTCTCTCTCCTATCTCTTTCAAGATGTTGTGTGACTTGTGTCTACCAAACATTTTTTAATAACTTAAATCTAATATTTAACATAAAATAATGTTTTATTTTATTCACATTGGTAGGACATTAGTTTTTACCCTATAAATCTAAATGAGAAAAAGAAAGAAAATGAAAATTCAACAGCCCCTAACCTAAGTCATGGAGATGAGGCCTGAGACTTGCAAGAACTAATAATTGGCTGATAATATTCTCAAGTCAAGCCTATCCACCTTTTGAAAGCCAGGACTGCTTCCCTTTTGTTTAGTTGGGATTCTGTTTGAAATTTCGGAGACTTGCCTTTGTAAAGTGTTTTATGATATTTCAAGAATAGCATTCGGTACTTGTACTTGTCAACAAACATGTTTCCTTTTTCCATCATTGCCACAACTTCATTGGCTCGAACAAAGAATCCACCCCTCACAAATGTATACAGCACGGAATCGAGAAGTTCCTGATCAAACTTCATGGAGATAGAAGAAGCAAGAGCTTTCATCTCACCCCACAGCTCTGTTACCTCTTGATATTTCCCTCCAATTGCAGCATACCCAGTAACCATAGAATGGAAAGTTTGCGCATTTGGGAAGTGGCCTAAGCTTCTCATCTTCTTTAGAGCCTTTTCTGCATCTTGCATTAGTCTCTTCTTACAAAAAAAATGGATTACGTTATTCCAATCATGAACTCCATAATCCACTCTCTGTCCTTCCTTGATTTCCTGCAACAGCTCGGTCATTAGCTCAGCTTTATCTGATTCTGCGCCACTTTTAGCCAGCATACAAGAGTTTTGTTGAGTGACCTTTGGAATTCTAGCTCCTTTCATCTCTTTAAATAGTTGGAGTGCTCCTTGTGTGTCTTGCTGGAGCACCCTGGATTGGATCATTGCCTCATAAGAGCTTGAGTCAAGCTGAATACCAGCTTTTCTAGCGTCTCTCAGAAGTGATTTGACATCTGCAGCCCTATTTGCTCGACAATATGCTTTAAGAAGAGAGGCATATACAGATGAACCAGTTCTAACTCCAGCTAGACGCATCTCGTCAAGGAGATCATGTGCCTGATCCAGCCATCCAAGTGAAATGCATGAATTAATAACACGAACCAAGGTGGAATTGTCATTGGAAAATGGGGAATCTTCTCTTTCGGCCTTGAGAAGAAAATCTGCTAAATCCTTGGTCTTGCCAGCTTCTAGAAAAGCTTTAACTAATTTCACATAAATTGTTTCAGTAGGTTGCAGTATACCATGTTTGGTTGTAATCAAGTCCACCTGTGTCTGCAACTTAGCTAATAAAGAACCAAGTACGATATTTGACTCTGCTTGAAGTTTTGAGAAGTTTCTATCTTTAGAGAACTCCTCATACGAAAATACAGCATTTCTAAGTGGCCTGTTATTCTCTAAACTATCTAAACCTTTACTGTTGTTGAAACTAGGCACAGAAGCCAGTCCTGGAGAATAGTTATGATCAATTTCAGTAGCATTTATCATAAATTTGGCACCTGCAAGGGAATTTCTTGCTTCCTTTGCTTTCCTAAGCATTTCCAAAACCATGTTTGAGGCAGAATCTAGATCCCCAAATTTCAGATGGCATGTCAGCAAACAATTATAGAACTGTCGGAACTGTAAATCAGTTAGATTTGGAGCTTCCTCTATATGTCTTTGCAGCTTCTTGAGCTCTTCTCTTCGGCCATTAGTCTCATACACACTGGCCATTATTATCAGTAAGTTTGAATCAGTTTTCACACCGATTCGAGGCATCATATCTAGAAGCTGCTCTGCCTTCCTAGATGTCTCAAATAAGAGACACCCTGCCAAAGCAATGCTAAAAGCAGCAGTATTTGGCTTCATGGCTATCAGAGGGGCATTGCTCTTTTTACGTGGATCTACTCTATTGTTTTGGAACAAATAACCTATTTCAAGAATCAACTCAGCAGCAAGGTAACTTCCATCTGCTGTTTGAGACATGTGTGCCAAAACTGCAGACCAAGCAGTGACTGGGGGGAAATGCTCCATGTCTATAATCTTTCTTAAAATGGTTGATGCAGGAACTGGTAGTCCAGCTTTTGCAAGGCCAAAGCTAAGGTAGATAAGCACCTCTTTTTCTAACAAGTCTTGTTTACCTTCCTCAATAGCACGTTCCACCAATTCGTAAGCTCTTCCCAGCCATTGCTTATCAAGGCTGTCCACATAACTTGTTACCAGCTTGCTGACAACAGATTTTCTGGGAAATCCCTCCATGTGCATATGCTGTTCAAATAATTTCCATGAATAATCTAATTGATTCGCACTGATAGCATTTAGAATTTCCAAACTAACTTTGGCTGGGTCTCGAGCCTGGACTAGGATTCTTTCGGCCACACTAGAGAAATATCGTCCTTGAAAAGTAAATTTATTCTCTGATCCCAGCAGAAATGCTTGCGAACATGAGTTGGCTAAATAAGGGCTAACAGACTTTGCAATAAACTGGACACTTCTGTTATTGAAAACTTGAGCTGTGCCATAATTGCAATTAGCAACCATGACACATAAAACAAAAGGGAAATCAGGTCCTGTTTTGAGCTTTCGTATTGCAAGCATCTTCAACCATCAGCAATTGTGTGTAGATGAATCTCAACGAAGTCGATAAAAATCTGTGCATTCAGAGTGTCTGTTGGAAAACAAGCATAACAAATGTCACACTATGACAGTACAAATAAGTCATTATTATGCTCACAAAGAGCAATGAACATTGTTAAAAGTAGAACTTTCAACAAGAGGAGTCTGATGAAAACAAACACAAGTTTTCACGAGACAACCAAAAATAAACAAATTCAAAAATTGATTTTTTTTTTTAAGTTGATATAGCATTTCCATAAAATCAATCTAATTACATTGGCCAAAGCGAACCTTCACTTATTTGAATTACATCTAACATGAGACACAGACACATGAAAATTATGCTTCGGCATCAGTCCTACATATATTTCATTATCAATGCCATAAACCCAATCAAAGTTTGACTCTTGACAGAAGAAGTTAACAAACACATATATTCAGCATCGGAAACTATAAATAAGCTGATAAAAATCCCAGAAAGCAATTAGCATTTCCCACTGGCTGGCTAATAAGTGATAAAAATCTAAGAATTATGTCTCACCAAGATAAGAATTGTAAGAAGGAGCACTAGATATACTCAGCCTCACTTTTATCCTAATTACCTGCAACAAGTGTCAACAATAAAAATATTACTACCAAAAATTATATATATAATCTTTTTGGGGTATTTTATCAAGCAGGTTATGGGAGTTTGAAAAATAACAACTTAGTGCCCATTGATTCACTTGGTAAACAGAAACACAACACAACAACTAATGTTTAAGGACCGCACTTGCTTTCTCCACTTGCTCTGCCATACTCAAACAGTCACCGGCAGAAACCGCCGTCCCTCAATTCGGCCTCTGCCACCGTAGAAGCTACCGTTAGCCACCAACAACAAGGCCCTAATGCCTATGCTCTGGGTTTATGGGTTAATTTTAAGTCCATACTAGTTTGGTGTGGGCCTTTCTGCATTTTTCTTTTCTTACACGACGTTTATTATTTTTAAGACAGAAATATTCACAAATGGATGGGTTAAGTTATTTAATTTATAGATTTTTTCATATATAATATTTAAATGTGAGATTTTATTTAATAGAGATTAAATATATATCACTTAATTAGTGACATGTTAGAGTTAGTTTGACCTTTTGCAATTTGAAAAAAAAAAAGTAGTTTTCGTCACCGATAAAATTACAAAAAGAATTTTATCAAATTTACAGAAACGGATTACTTTATCATTTTTGTTCAATGTGTTATTTTAATTTTAATTTGTTCATTCTTGCTCAAAATTTTTGTACCTTCGTGAGTAGTGGTTTTCCTTTTGAAATAAAAGGGAGTTAAATAATTTATTTTTCAAAAACCTAATTTATTCAAACGAACAAATCTTATTCCAATTCATTGATACACGCAATGGTGTATGGTTTGTCATTTTCAATTTGCACATGTATTATAAAAATAGTTTAATTTTAATATATTATCATATAAAAAATTTATTGTCAATTAATTATAATCTAATGTAGATATTATTTTAAATTAAATATTATTAAATTAATTATTTTTGTTTGTACAATAATGTAAGACTAGATGACAATATTTTTATTTGTTATTGATGTATTTAATTAAAATTCTATAATAATATATTTATAGTTATATGTATTTTATGTTCTGCAAATATTAAAAACAAAATATATGTTTATATATTAATTTATATATTTTTATATGAAAATAAAAATAAGAAGATGAATTTTTAAAATAAAATAAGAGATGTGATAGAAAAATACAATAAGAAATTAGTAAAAAGAGTTGTGCAAATTTGTTGTAAAATAATATATATCTCTTTTAAAATATTTATTTTTTGCAAATTAATTTTCTCAAACAAATAAAGTTGACGCTTTATGAGCTCTTCAAATATTTTATGCATTATAAGAATTTACACATAGTTATAGTATATTTAGTGTTGTGTAATATACTGGTATGAAATTACTTTAAAAAATAAATTTATTATTTTTAATAAATTTTAATTTCTCAATCATCTAATAATTTTTTTAAAATTTTAAAATTTTGCAATTTTCTACTATATTGATTGTAAGTTCTTCCTCGCCGAGTGCTTTCTATAAGTTGTAAGATTTAAACATTGTTTAAAATGTTAAAAAAAACCTTGTTTAAAATAATTTTGTAATTTTATTTAATATATTATCGGTATAAATATTTCTTTTTGCTAATGGTATAAATATTTTTATACTATCAAATTTAAAAGGATTGATATATATTTTTTTTAGTTGTTTAAATTATACAACTATTTTAAAATGATTATTTTTATATGCAAATAGTTGATATAATAGTATAAAGTCTACTGCAGTGTAATTGATATTATATATATATATATATATATATATATATATATATATATATTGTAATTCAATTTTTATTTTTTAAATTACATGAATTTTTTAGTGACAACTGACTGGCACTAGTTCAGGGGTGTATTTTAAGCAATTTTTAATATAATAATTTGAAAATCAAATTATAGTTTAGTTAAAAAGAATATTTCGACGAATTTGACATTTTTTAACGTGAGTTTATCAAATTGAATAATTTTTAATGATTTTGTTAATATTAATATTTAAGTTTCAGTTTCAATATTTAAAAATAATACTTTTACTAAAAATATTTATTATTGTAAAGTTACACAATTGTAATAAGTGTTTTTTTAATTAGAAATTTATCACTTTAATCATAATTTAAATTATTTGTCAAGTATCTTTAAAATATTTTTTAGAGTTTAATTTTGATGCATTATAAATGTAAAATATTTTATATTATCAATTAATTAAAATACACAATAAATATAAATTTTAAATTAATTTGTATAGAAATCTATAATTTTTGCCAAAGTGACAATTTATAATTACATGCCAATATATTAAATATTTGCGTTGCTAGTATATTTTAATTACAATTTAATGTTTCTATTAATTATTAAGAAATTTTTATTCGATATTCTGAGAAGATACTTTCTCTATTTTATTTTAGATGTTAATTTGGTACTTTCTATTTTTTAAAATCAATTAATAAGATATTAACTTTGCGTAAATAACACTTTTATTTATTAGGGGTGATTCTCACCAAATATCCATTATAATAACTTCGGTAGCATCTTACGTTCAATTTTTTTTAGAAAATTATTAATTACACGACTTATTACGATAAAATTGACCCTTTTGTTTTTTTTAACTAAACTGGTTTTTTTTATGAAAACAGTTGCAATATAGTTATTAGTTTATTTAAGTATTTAGGTTAGATATTAATAAATGTAAAAAATATTGAAAATAATTATTTTTAATTTTAAAAATAATAAATATTCTGAAAAAAATTAATCAAAGATACATATAATATAAAATTAAGAGGATATACTCTATCACTTTTTTTTTTTATAATTATATAATACATCACTTTAAAAGATACTATTAAGGTGTGTAGTGAGAAAGAATGAATAAAACATTAATAATTTAGTGTTTAAAAATTTAATAAAATTATATTAAATTACATTTAAACATTAAAGATATAATTTACTGAAATGAATTTTGTAAAACTAGATATGTTACTAAAAAAAAAGTTAGCAATACACTTTATAACACATATTTTTAATATATTTTTTATTATTATTGAAATTTATTAAAACTAAAAAAATATTAAAAAAATATTAAATTTTCAATAGAAAAAAGTAAAATATACATGTTTTTTTATAATTTTTAATAAATATTAATCAAGAATAAAAGTTGTATTACAAACCGTATTACTAATATATTGCTAATATTACTAATAAATAGGTAAAAACATTATTGGTACGGAGTACAAATGCATGAAGAGAGGGGGAAACAGAAGATGAATAAGATGGAAGAGTCAAAACTGGGTGGATTTCTGGATCTCTAGTTTCTGCTTCTGCTTCTGCTTCCGCTGGTGCCGCTCCTAATTGCAAATTCTCATTTCTCTGTGCTCCGCTCAGAGCCATGATTTTTGAAACTGCTCAAGATTACGTCAATGTCTCGTTATTTTTTCAAAGTTATCCACATCAAATTTAGCAATAATCTAAATTTTGGATTTGAACTAGCTTTAGAGAAATTCCAAACATTTTAAAAAATAGGTACAAATAAACAATTAAAAATTCAAACATTTTATGTGTCTTGCCGTCAATGATTGCATTGATGCATGAATTACTTTTTTTGTCATTTTTTAAAATGAATAAATAATTTATTAAGATCAATAAAAGATAATTATATGTTATAATTTTTTATTCTATTTTTAAAATATCTATAATATTAAATAACTAAATCGGTGAGTTAAATATAAAATAATTGAATCTATTTATTTAAATGAATAATAGATGAATATTTTGTTAACATAAATTTTGTAATAATGTAAGTATAAAAAGATTTAATAATTAATACATCTAGAAATAAGTTTTAATTTTTTATGATTAAAAAAATATTAATAATTATTTATTTTAAAAGAACTGGAAGGAGTGTAAAGAAAAAGAAAAATTAATATTTTCAAGTCCTTTTATTTCAGATTTTTCATGAAAAAAAATTTTACTTGAAAATATTACTTTTAAAATTTTTAATATATTTTTTTAAAAATAAGAATTTAAATTATTCTAAAAACAAATTTAGTAGTTTGTTTTTCTTTAAAAGCAATATGAAAATATTGGACAATTACTTAATTACCTTGTGGGCTTAAGGGAGATACAGCAATTGAAGGGAGAGGCGGGCCGTTTCGTCCAAGAACTGCAGGGCCTGCCAATAAAAATCTGGTCTTAGCATTTTTCTTATGGTGGACAAAAATAAAAGGGCAAAAATTTTAAACAAAAAAAACTTGATCACATCGAACAAAAATAAAAATCGATCATAAGAAAAATTGTTTATGAGATTCTTAAAAAAAGAAAAAGAAAATCAAAAGTATCAGTAAAATATACTGCGATTGCAAACATAAATGTAGTTGAACAATCAATACCCGGAGCAGGTAAAGGAGAACCAGAAGCTGCAAAGTACAATAAAAAATAGTATTAGAAATCTAATTGGTTTATGGGAAAACTAAAGAGGAAAAATGGAAGTTTGTCAAAAAGTATAAATATTTAGACTGAATTGAATGTGCACCTTTGCACTGTAAAGGAAGTCCATTAATGTTGCATGCTCGTGAGAGGGAGAGGGTAAGAGCTTGGCTAATGGGTTGTTGGAAAAACGGAGCATTGGCTGATATTACCATGCAAGCACAATCCATGTTAGTGCTCATCAAAGACCTTAATGAATCACAACACGTAGTTGATGGCATTGAAACTTTATTGGTGCTTCCTGTAATGATGTTGGCGCATGGTGTGAAACTGCTCATCATTGAGGTTGTGCAAGGGGTACTAACCTGCCCATCAACCAAATTTACTGAACTGACTATAAGGGTTGCTAGCATCATTCTTATTTGAAAAGCACTCATGAACTGCTCCATGAGGGGTAGGAGGATCAATCTTAAATGGAAGAAGATTGATGTGTAATGGGATATTCTATGTTGGATTAAACTAAAGAAAAGGAATGGTTTTTATACTACATTGGTTTTCTACAATATTTTGGAGAAGAGAACAGGTAGATTTGAATATGATCAAGGAGTTCAACTAATTTGACTAACATTTCCAGTGGAAGAATATTTCAGTCAATTACCGCAGTTATTTTTACAAACTAGCAATTTGGTATGGTTGGCTAGAATTGAGCTTTTCATATTTTTGAAAGTTGATAATGTTATTCGAAATGAAATTCCAATTGATAGTAGATGCTAATTGCAATCATGCACGAATAATCTCTGAGTAGTTTGTGGATATTTGGTCTTATTATAAGGACCTAATTCATCCAACAAGCTTGGGAAAGATACTAGACACCCATTTTTTAGGTGTAGAGTGGGTGGAAGGAATGGAGAGATAAAAAGGGGGTGTGGGGAGGAGAAGTGATTGATTATGCCATGCAAAAACAAGATAAAAAAAAGGAGTGGATGAAAAATAAATGTAAGAGAAAATGAGTGAAAAAAAATATAATGGTTAACAAGCTTGGTAGTAGTTTAAGAGTTAACGTCTTGTGTCTCGTTTCTATCCCAAGAAATTTACATCTGCTAAAATTACAGGAGCAATTGAAAAGTGCAATCAAATTTTCCAAACAACTTTAGTCACCTATTGGAACATGTTTGTGTGTCTATTTAATCTGGTGCAAATCCCCTATGTTAATATAGAGGTGTCAAATTGTCAAGGCACATTGTGGATATGTCAGGGACTAATACTACTAAACATTTTATTTATTAATCTTTTATTTCTAATCTTCGGCGTGATCATCGGTGCATATTGTGGAAATAGAAAAATCGAAAAGCTGTTAGAAAAAGTATCCCATGTTTCAATGGGCATGCCTAGAAGCTGCCTTCTCTGTTAAGCATTGGTTACTGTTATTATTCAATGAGTTAAATTTTAACTCCCTTTAAGTAGCCCTCTCCATTATGCATCATAATTATTGCACCAAAAGCATGAAACATACTGCATAGCTAGCACACAAATCATTCTCAAAAGTAAAGTCATTATGAAAAGATGATACATTTGGTGCTTTTAATACCCGCAATATTACTCATGCGCTAGGGGCATATCAATTTAGCAACGCAGGAAAGATAAGAAACATAGAAGGACACATAAGGCTAACTTTATTGACAAAGAATCTGTTGCATATGTAAGTAAAGCAAAAAAAAGATGTTCACCTGCTGCTTAAGCAAGCTAGCTGCCACTTCTTTTTGTCGCTATAAGCCATTCTTTTGTGACTTTTCCACCTCCAAAATCCAAAGAAACCCATTAATTCAGCACTTAAATATTGGCATGTGATCGTTGGGGGAATATCTGACAGCAATAGCTTCATCCAATGGCACCCAGAAGAGGGATTGAAATGCTGTTGAGCATGTCCCTTGTGGTGGCTCTTTTGGGAGCCACATTGGCTCAATCCGAATCAAGTTGCACCAATGTGCTCTTAAGCCTTTCTCCTTGCCTTGACTACATAACAGGAAATGCCTCTACCCCTTCATCTGTTTGCTGTTCTCAACTTGGCTTTGTGGTGAGAACACAGCCACTTTGTCTATGTGAGGTTGTTAACAGTGGTGCCTCATCCATTGCTGCCAGTCTCAACATCAATCAGACTAAGGCCTTGCTACTTCCTAGTGCTTGCAACGTTCAAACACCACCTATTAGCACCTGCAGTGGTATGAGTTAAATTTGTTCCTGAAAATATTTTATAATGAAATATGTAACTGAGATCATGTATGATTTCAGGCTCAGCTTCTTCCTCATCAGGTGTTTCTGTTTCCAACATTCCAAATTCCCCTTCAGGTACCAAACAAAGAGAAATGAATTTGAATCCTCTCATGTTGATAAGTAACATGATTTGGTCGTGTCAAAGAGAGAAATATACAATCTTAATAAATTTTAATTAGTACAACCTAGGATCAATCAAGGTGGGTCGGTCTGTATTTGATAAAAATTATATCTTTTTCTCTCCAAACCATATCATGTTACATATCAACATGAGAGGATTCCATTTTTAAGAGAAATTCTTAACTGATTTTATCAAAAACATTTATGCAGTTTGAGGTGTGTCACGTTAAAAATTGTACTTTCGAGTAAGAATTAGTAATAAATGTGACAGTGACCCATTTTTCAGCAATTTGGGGTGAGTGAAAAATGTATTTTTGTGTAACACACTAACAACATTTTTGGTCAGCTTAATTTTAAAAGAAATAATTGTTTTTCTTTACCCCCATGATGCCCAAGAATTTATGCCAAAGTTATTGCATATTATACTGACAATTTCAACTCCAGAAAAATGGGTGCAATTTGGTTCCTGTTTCTTTCAGTTGCACTGTTTAATTATGACTAGTCCTGTAGAAAAGAAACAGAAAAGGTAAAGTTTTAGCATGTTAGTGAATTTGATGGTTTTTTGGTACAGGGATTGGATCCAATACCTATTCATCAACGACCGGAGGCAGTAGAAGTGTCGGTGGTTCATATCATGAAAATTCAAGTTCCACTACGTTGCCTTGTTCTTTGCTTCTATTATTTCTCTTTGCTACGACTTTGACTTTCTCATTCAAGACCGCCACCTAGACTGCGACGTTGCACATTTGTAAGAGAAATTTTAATTTTATAACTATTTCTAGAAACATTATCAGTATTACGTGGGATCACATGAGAAATGTGATGAAGAGATAGATTGAGAGAGAGTAAAAAAAGAGCTAATAGAAAATTATTTTAGAAAGAATGTGTATTAATAATATAACTCCTTCTAAAAACACTATCAGTATTATGTGAATTCAACTGCTCTGAGCATACCCACTAGTTTCCTCTTTCCTTTAACCATGTTAGGATTTCCCCTATATAGTTGATGCCGATTTGTATTTCTTCTACTATGCTTTTAATTATGTCTGTGGTTTGTGCCTTGATATCACATTAGTTTTGATTATCGACATAATTTAAGATCGTTTTGAAGAATTTGTCATGATTCTTTTATAAAATTCCTTACAAGTTATTATTTGTATTAATTATTTACATAAATATCTTTAGTAAGACAAAATAATTAATTAAGTAAAATAAATTATGACAATGAATCTTGATAAATTTAATGTTATTATAAAATTACCTATACTTTTCAATTCCTCATAGTTAAAAGAGTCTTACATTTACAATGAAAGAATAAGAGATTGTATTTTATAAGTTTGGAGTGTGCGGAATTTCGGGTCAAACAAGTGGCTTTATAGAATACTCCGCACAGAACCAAAAACAGAAATCAGAATTGTCGTATTTCAAGATAGATAAATACCTCTCGCATATATAAACTATGATTTCTAGCTAAGCTGCTGCAACCATTAAAAAGTGGATGTCCACTTAATGAAATAGATATTAGATATGATCATATATATGAAAATTTCAAGTTCGCAAGGTTCCAAAAAAAAATCATGATCTAACACACTGTAAACTAAATCTCAGTGTATCTAAAGAAACAACTCCGAATCTTCAATGTGAACCTAGAGTTGGTGAATCATGAAGGTTATAAGAAATTAACTGAAACAGGAGTGATTGAATTTGATAAGCAAGAAAGAGCGAAACGTCATGATCTCATCTTATGCTTTAAAATCTTTATAGGTTAAGCAATACATCAGTTTCTAATTTCTTTATTCACTTCATTATCTGCGCATTTGTGTTGGCTAGTGAGTGCTCCGTGACTCATCAATTCTAGCCAAGTTATCACTAGTGTAACAAAATTTAGAAATCGTGATATTCAAGTCACATTAGATAAAGGTCAGATTAGAATGAGTTAGGTATGCCTAATTATGTTTAGCGGGATGAACAAAACCGGAGATTATAGGGTGTTGCGATTTTAATACGTTCTTAAATAATATGGTGTGATTATATTTAAAAGATAAAGACATACTTTTTATTAAATTTAATTGTTGAGTCCTGTAGATCTTTATTGAATTAACATTATGTTCTTCTCTTTTCAAGATACTCATATAATATAACAACATGAGAATTCTAAATTCTGGATGCTATGGGTTGTAATTTGTTCAAGTTATAGTTTAGATCTTATGTAAAATTGGGAAATTTGATTCCAAAGGCAATACTTTACTGAGTATTAAAATAGAAAAAAACTTAAGAGTTAGGTTTAAATTTGAGAAAAGTTTTCACAAGTAACTGCTTTAATTCATTTGATTTTATTAGACCGACATTTATAATTTGGACACTAAACATACTTTTGGTGCGTTTATATACCTTTTTTTTTTTTCAAAGAAAATGTATTTCGTTCTATGTATAAATTAATGCATATAAGGTGTGTTTTAACATAATTGAATAAATGAACGAATAGAAAAGTAAAAATTAAAAACCTACAAACACCGCTACATTAACAAAGATAAAGTAACTTAAGTTTGGAGAGGGATACTTGTACATTTCTAACATAATAAAGTGTAAATACTAAATAGTAATATTTGATAGAAAGTTAATTTTGTATGGACAAGAGTACGCTAGTTTGAGTAACAATTTCATAAAGCTTTTATTACATAAAATATTTATACCATGAACTTTATTATAAAAGTTAGAGTTTTGTTAACCTTAACTGAATTTAAATATCCACAAATAAAAAATTTTATAACAAAAGTACACGGTTATTGTATAAAAGTATACGATTATTGTATTGAAGTTATAAAAATATAATAAATACTTTTTCTTTAATAAAATTTTACTATTATTAGCTGCTTATTTCTAGATTAACAAAACTCTAAAATTTATTGACATAAATTATAAGTTATTGATAAATATATAAAATAAGTGATTTGAGATGGTGACTTGAGCACTTTTCATGTTAAAAATTTAGATTATTTTGTTAAATTTTTTTTAAACTTGAAACTTTTACAATTACTTGTATATTTCAGAAAAAAAAAATAGAATTGTAGTGTTTTGATTCCTTTTTTTTTTATCTATTTTGTAGTTGAAATCAAAGGAGAAACATCACTCAAAGTCAAAGAAAAAAAGAATATATAAAGCATGAAGTTGCAGAAAAAGTTAGTTGTTGGAAGTTTCTCGTTGTAGTGAGATACCCTCGCTGCAAAGAGAATGTTTAAGTTTGAAGAGGGTGATTTTGTGTTCCTCTTGTTACAGCGAGAATGTGTAACGAGATTTTCTTATGTCGTTGTAGCAAGAAATATCATTATAGTGAAAGACAAACAAAATTATCTAATTTTAATCTTCATGTCTTGCTACAGCGACACTTCCTCGCTGTAGCGAGAAAAGTTCGTGCAAATCAATATAAAAAGTAACTTTTATATTTTTAAAGAGACTACTGTTCCATTTGAATTTTAGGAAGAGAGAGAGTAGCGCAAAGCAGAGCAAAGGAAAAGAGTAGGAATGCTCAAGTTTTAATGTTCTACTTTATTTGTATCTCATTTCTTGTTCCTATGGTTGCAATGAGCAACTAGAATTTGCATGAGATTGAATGTAAATTTTTTAACTTAATGTATTCTCAGTAATATATATAAATATAGTTATTTCTTCTTCATTTTTATTGATTTGGTGATTTCAATTCGTGTCAATGTTTGAATCTATCTATTTGATAGTTTCTTGAGCTCATATTTGAGTTATATTTGGAAAAGTATTACTTAGATTTAGATTTGATTGAGATTACTCAATAACTGGTTACTCTAGGAATAGATTTCAAGTTATTGATTGCTTTTAAATCCTGATTTTAATGTTGGATAATTTGTTAATTGTTTGAGAAATCAACATTTAAGAAATTATCTTAGAAATGTAGTTTAAGAAATTGAAATATGTTATTTTTGTATTTTACATCAAATTCATTGGAGATAGTTGCTATATTTATCGTTGAATTACTAGAATACAGAGAGAAAGATAGACGAAATTCAATCCTAATTTCTTTAATTTGAATTTTACTATATTTTACATTATCGTTTTACATTGTAATTGTTACTTAAAATTTTATGAAAAATCATAAATCAATTTTATTGTATATAAGCTCAATTAATTTTTATCTTAACAATTAATACATTTTGAATTACTTTCTAAAGACGATATATTCTAGTACTCTATCGATTATTATTTGCAACAGACTTGATATACTTGTTGTGTTTAAAGTAAAAGTTCCAACAGTTATAAAAATTTTTTATTAGTTTTTACAAACACACCTTGAAATTATTTTAAAGTTACTTGACCTCTTACCAAAATTTCAATTTTATCTTCATTTCTATTTTTGTACATTTTTTTTTTGTGTTATATTCTAAAGTTTGACATTACTTAACTTAAAAAAAAAAAAAATTACTTAAATTCTTAACAACAAATATTGACTTCAAATTAAAAATAGTTTAGAGTGTTATTAGGATATTAGAACTAGAAAATCCTAGTTACCGAATTTGTGGAAGCAAATATAGATGTGTGTATAATTCTGAATAATTGCAAGACAAAAACTATGTTTTTTTTTTTTCGATTTTTGATAAAAACTTCATATTATCCCCAATTAAACACATAAAATTCATATATCTTCTTTGAATTAGTCACGTATGTTCCATGTCAATACTTGTAGTTGATCATCTAAATATTTTGGTCGATTTTCATTTGAGACTTTTAAAAAATGATTTTTCAAGTCTAAAAAATATATTTTAATAATGTTTTTCGTTAGTTCTTTTGTATGTTGGAAGTGTATTCTTTAAGTTTTTATTTTCTAGTTATTTTGTTAATGTTGATGATTTTAATAATGATGTAAATGTTGTGATTTGAATTTGTTCTTTCAAGGTTTAGGGAAGTTAGTGCCAAAGAAATGGGAGGAGCTGGAACATCAAAGTTAATTTTATGAAAACTCAATAGTGATTTTTGGAATATCAAATCCTCAATCTGTGTACCTAACTTTAGCACCTGCTAGCACACTTGGATGTCGTGGTATTAATTTATAGTTTTGACTTTATAGCGTTATGCATATGATAATCATATCACAATTTCATGATGTTGAATACTGATGCATATGATAATAAATAGCAGCGTCTTGGCTTAGAGCAAAAAAGTCACTAAAATAAAAGGGCATTTGAGTTAAAATGTAACAAATGGTAATCATTAAAGGGATTATTTGCCGTGAATATTTAAGGGTTTAAATAACATTAACGGAGAGTAACCTCTCTTTTATTTTTCTTTGTTTCCTTCAGCTGAGATATTAATGAAGTTTGATTTATTACTTGTTTAGATTGTGCCTTGATTTTCTAAGTTTTTATTAATGATATTTAGATTTTATTATTTGTTCTTGATATTTTATTAAGTTGACGATTTTTCCATTAATCTTGTAATCTATACCTTAATTAAAAAAATTAACATATGAATTTGACATGAAGGTAGATTTTTAAATTTCATTGCTGAAGGATTTTTTTTATGGATTTAGTTGGGTTTATTGAGGTTCAACGTTTATATATTTCAAAAGTAAATTAAGGAATTAATATTTTTCCAAGATTTCAATAATTTTTAATGAAATAAAAAATTAATCTATAGTTAATACTGAAACCTAATTCTGAATCTCAAGAAAATAAACTAAGACCATTAATTTAATTTGATAAATTTAAAAATATCTTTAATAGTCTCTAAAAACATTCATCCATTAAATTAGCAGTGAAATAAAATTACATTATTAAATAGTAACAAAATACTAAGTTATTATATTAAATGACATAAAATTGTTAACACAAACAAAATAACGTCATTGAAAGTTTGACTTCAATAATGTAAAAAGAAGAAAAACAAAATGAATAATAATAATAATAATAATAATAATAATAATAATAATAATAATAATAATAAAAGATGTGGTAGAAGAATTGAAGATTACAAGTTAAAAATTAACCCAAAATTCAAACTTAATCCTAGTTAAATCCTTAATGACATTATTTTGTGTATATTGCCGTCTTAGCTGTCACTTAATATCATAATTTAGTTTTTGCCATTGTTCAATAATGATAAATGCCTTAAACTACTAATCTAAAGGATGGACATTATTTTTAAGAACTATGGAAGGTATTCTAAAATTTTGAGCACTAAATTATTTGACCTATAAAATCTAAAATATCTATTTAGAATTATTTTCATTTTAAAATTATGCAAACTTGGCTTCTCCGTTAACTTTTTTTTTTTACTTAAAATCTCAAATTTATTTTTAAATTTAATTTTTGGTGACATATATTATGGAATTGAAACATAAAATAATTGTTTAAAAAATTAAAAATAATAAATTTAGGACGGACTTAATAAAATTTAAAATATTTTATAACATATGATATTGTTGTTTGAAAAAAAAATTAAATTTTTTTGTGAAATTTGATATTTAGATTAGTGTATTTTGTTTAGAAGATAATTTAATCAGCTGGATTTATAGTTTTTTTTTAAGTGCAACTTAAAATACGAGAATTTTAGGTAGAAGAAATTTAATTAAGAGCTCGATCTTTTAAAATTTAAAAGTAGAACAAATTAATTAACTAATAAGGACCGAAATTGTACGCAAATAAAATTATAAGAAAAAAAAATCAGGCCTTTTTATTTGAGTAAACTTTGAAGTTTACACACTTAAACTGGTTAATATAAACCTAACTTATTTGCGTAATTTAATTGATACTTAATGTTTTTCTTTAAATACTTGATAAATTATAATGACTACTAAGATTAATGAAAACTACCGACTAGAAAGCACATTGCAAAAGAAAAAAAAATTGATTAACAAGTTATAGAATATTATATATTTAAATTTTAAAAGTAAGAAAATATTTGTGTGATATTTTTTAGATTTAATTACACTTTTAGTTTGCACATTTTAACTTAATTATTATTTTGGTCTTCTAACTCTAATTGCTTTTTATCTGATCTTTATAGTTTTTCAATTATTTAAGTTAAATATTTTATTTTAAAATTTATTTAATAATTTAAAAATATAAAAAATATGTACTGTATCATTTATTTAAACACATTTATAAAAAATATATAAATAAAGTTAATTAAATAAAATAAAAAGGATTTTATAATACTTTGTGTGTTCTATTTGTAATTATTTATAAATTAAAACTAAACTCATTTAAAAAAAAAGTAGATTGATTCCCTAGTTCGTACGAAATGAAGAGTCAATATCGTAATGAACGTAGCCAGCTATGGATAAGACATCTGCTGAGGGAAAATGTCGTTGTTAGGGAGTCGTCTTTATTTTTTGTTTAATGTAAAATTTTCTCGTCCACGCGCAATTGGCATGTCAACCTAACGTGAATTGGAATATAACATGATAATTTGAAGCACGGAAAAGAACAAAAGAGAACAGTGGCACTTAAGTATAAGCCAAATTAAAATAAAATAAAAAGAAACTGGGGATTCCAGAAGGTGTACGGGAAGGGAAATGAAAAGGAATTAGAATATGCGGAGAGGGTATTCTATTCGCCGTAGTGAGGTGGGGCACGCAACGCAACGCAACGCAACGCAAGTAAGGGCAAAGCCAAAATTAAACGGAACAAGCCAAACCAATTTGAATTAAGCCCTTTACTTTATTTATATAGGATTTACATTAAGAGTTATTCTTATTATTATTTTCAATTTTCATGAATCAAACTCTAACCTAATCTTCAGAAATAGATACCAATAACATATTGGGTTTGCATTTTTCGAAACAACAAAACCTTAGGGGAGAGCAAGTAACGCAACGCAAACACAAACGCCCAGCATTCCTTCACATTCGCATTCACATTCACCCTTCAGCGTGACCTTTCCTTACCCAATTCCTTTCCTTTTCTTTCTCGCCCTTCCACAATCTCTTCGATTCCATTTCTTCTTCGCTTCCAGGTAAATCCACCTTCTCCTGTATCTCTCTGCTACCCTTGATTTTTATAATTGGAATCTTGAGCGAGGGATGGTGCTTAATTTGCGTTAATTTTGGTTCTATTTCGAGTTGATCCGGTACCATTTGCTCTGTCATCTCCAATTTCCACTTTACGACTCTGTCACCATTCTCGTACTTGATACACTGCTATTTCGTTTTTTTCTTTTTTCTTTCCGGTGCTGAAAAATTTTAGGGCTGGAATCCCAATTTGAATTTTGAGAGCTATGTTCTGTTGTCTTGTGCGTTAAGTGGTTCGTGAATCCAAAACAACGTCACTGGTTACGAGTCTCTTTGTTTTTCCCGTTTAACCTTGTTCGTTACATAATTCTTCGTTGAACTGAGTAGGGCCTTTTTGTAGTCAAGACATTTTCTGGAAATTTCAGTTCATTGCTGTGAGATCATTCACTGAATTTCGGAGCTTGTATTGTTCTTCGGTTATTAATCCATGTTGAACCTATTATGAAAGCATTGCATCGCATTTTGTTCAAAAGATGGTCATTTTTTTTTGCTTCCCTTTGCATTCTTTGTTTTTTATTGGTGATGCTTTGGGTTCTCCCTGCCATGGGTATTGTTTTTTCATGTAGCTCTTTTACATAGGTTTGCTGTAGTATGTAATTGGAAATGGAATTTATTTGTCCTTTGACAGATCAATATTGCTTTTACCTTTGTTTTTGCTTGGGAACATCTACGTTCAAAGGTTCAATATAAGTCGTTCATGGTTTTCTCAAATGACAAAGAAGCATTTTGCTCTATTTGTGCTTGATAAGAAAAGGAGTCCAGTGCATGAACCTTTTACAATTTCGATGAATTAGGTGTCTCTGATATTGTTATTTCATTGACTAATTTTGAACTAGCTTGTGCTTTTTGTTGCCCTACAATCGGGACTGGACATTTAGTTTGGGAGTTTACTATTTAATAACTCTTCAGTATGCATTTTGCTATAGTTTTGAAATCATGCAACAGAGCTGTGAAAAGCTAAAGTTAAAACATAGGGAAGTTCCACGTAACTTTTAATAAAAGGTCCAGGCATGGAATGCAGCTGCTTTATTATGTTTATAACTTATAACTCATCCAAGGCCTCACATATGTCAAGAGGCAATCCCCCGCTGTAAACAAAGAGAAATATGTAAAACATTAAAAGTGCAAGTCTGTATTTGGGCATGATTTGAGAAATAGGTTCTGCTGGTTGATTAACCATGATAACATCTATTGAATTCTACAATTCCTGTACTTATATTGAAAATTGGTTTTGATAGTAAAACTTGAGAATGTGTTGAGTGAAGGGATGGGCAAATTTATTTGAAGGTAATCCCTTTTCCTTCTTGTGTCCTTTATACGTGGAATCAACAAATACTGAGTTGCACTCTTGTGCTTCCTGTGTCCTTTATAAATCCTTATTTTTATCCTGCCATATAGTCTATAGAGTAAGATGAGCCAAGGTCCATAATTGTAGGTGTGTCTATTTGAGTTAAACTTTGATAACCAGGCATGGTTTGTGTGAGTAGTTATAGTTTTATGAGAGCAATCAAGCAATTAATTCTAGTGGTTGATTTAAGTTTTCAGAGGGGGTGAGGTTGAAAGCTGTAGACTTTCTATAGGTAATATGCAGTCTCAATTTTGCAATGGGATGGAGAAGGTAGATTAAATGCAAACTCATGATGTAGAGAACATGGGACAATCGCTGGGGCTATGTGGGTGAAAATGTGAGATTGTTCAGAAGGCACTTTTGGCTTCATCTTCAACAATCAGCTTGTCTTTGGTTGACTTATGAAAGAAACTATTATGTGCTAGTGTCTGCATTGTCAACATGACTTCTACCATTAGGTAGAGGGAGGGACCACTGGTTTGAAATCCTATGGGTCAGTATGTGTCTCTATGTATGACGTACTAGTTTCTATTTACCATATTTACCATCATGATGAATAGAAATAAAATTGAATATATTTTTTTACATCTGATTCCTATATTCCCTAATATTTTTGTTAGTTTCTCAAGTTCTGAATCATAGAAGTTAAATAACAAAATCACTCATAAAGGGATCCAATATTGTCAAAATTATATTCAACTTCACTTCTTTTGTTGTTATTCTTGCTGATGTTGCAAAGAAAATCTAACATGTTTTGTAGACAACAATTTTTCGTGCCAACTTTATATGTGCCATCCTAGCGACCATGTATTTCAAATTAGTACTGCTTCTAACATTGACTTTGAATTTCTGAAGTATCACAATGTTGGCATACCTTATTGGATAAATATTGTGATTGCAGGTGCACCTTCTATATAGCAGAAACTCATTGGCGGAGAGTTATCAGAAATATATGAAATAGTAGTTGTAAATTCGTAATGTCTGGACTGATTGAAGGACTTCCTGATGCTGTTGCAATTAGGTGCCTTGCACGGGTTCCCTTCTACCTCCACCCAAAGTTAGAGCTTGTGTCTCGTTCTTGGCAAGCAGCTATTCGTAGCCCTGAATTATTTAAAGCTCGGCAGGAGGTTGGTTCAACTGAAGATCTGTTATGTGTCTGTGCTTTTGATCCAGAGAACCTATGGCAGCTGTATGACCCTATGCGAGATCTCTGGATCACACTTCCTGTTCTTCCCTCAAAGATCAGGCACCTTTCTCACTTTGGTGCAGTTTCCACTGCTGGAAAGTTGTTTGTGATTGGTGGTGGAAGTGATGCTGTTGATCCTTTGACTGGGGACCAAGATGGTTGTTTTGCAACGGATGAAGTTTGGTCCTATGACCCTGTAGTCAGACAGTGGGCCCCTCGGGCTTCAATGCTAGTTCCCCGTTCTATGTTTGCATGCTGTGTTTTAAATGGGAAAATTGTTGTTGCTGGGGGCTTCACTAGCTGCAGAAAATCAATATCTCAAGCAGAAGTGTATGATCCTGAGAAGGATGTTTGGATTCCAATGCCTGATCTTCATCGCACTCATAATTCAGCCTGTTCAGGAGTAGTGATTGGTGGAAAGGTGCATGTACTGCACAAGGATATGTCAACAGTGCAAGTTTTAGACAACGCAGGGCCTGGGTGGATCGTTGAGGAATGTGCGTGGCTCCAAGGTCCAATGGCAGTTGTCCAGGATGCACTTTATGTGATGAGCCATGGATTTATCATCAAGCAAGACAAAGAAGCAAGAAAGTTTGTAGGTTCAGCATCAGAGTTTCGAAGGAGAATTGGATTTGCGATGATTGGACTAGGTGATGAGTTATACGTGATTGGAGGCTTTATTGGCCCTGATAGATGGAATTGGGACATTAAGCCATTATCTGATGTTGATGTTCTCACTCTTGGGAGCGAGAGACCAACATGGCGCCAGGCAGCTCCAATGACAAGGTGTCGTGGTACTATTCTTGGTTGTACGCCGCTTAGAATTTAGGCCTTTGCTTTCTAGGCGCTCGTGTAATTTGTGATCATGGGGATTATTTGGATCCCTTCAACTAGACAAAGAATCAGTTGTTCAATGGCTTCTCTGTTTTGTATGCAAGCCATAATATTTGTCTTTTGTTTTTATATTGATCACATGTGGTAACGAGGTATTAGCTTCTGTGTCTGTTCTGTTCGTAGCAAAATAGTAAAGGACCACCATTAACCAGGCCACAAATAGGTGCTATTCCCTCCTCAAAATTTACCAATTTTCAGATAAAGGACGTACGGGAAAAATCAACTTCATGTAGCTGTTCCCCCTTTTATTTTCTTTTTGCTCTTGCGAAGATAGCTGAGGGGGGCAATGGTCGTCGAAGTTCGTAGTCTCGTGATCTTAATCTAGCATTAATATAGATATAGAACTGTCCAAAATAAATACTCGCAGCTTTCTTTTGTTTCACACTGAAATTTGATTTTTCTAATTTTGTACTTCAAATGAAGAGATACACATTTGACGGTAAAGTATATCTATAATAGTTAAGTAAAATATCAATAATTGATATTATAATAAGATACAAGTACGTTTATAATAAACTTTGAAGTTGTTAAAATTTTGGCTGTTAATTTCTGAATTAATAATTATATTTTTAGAATTTACCTTTGAAGTATTCTTTAATTTAACCCGTGCTTGTACAGGTTGCTTTTCTAGTTATGTTATAGCAATAAAATTAGCTATGAGATGGGCTTTGCGTTGCATTCCCCCATCCAGGTCTCTCTCTAGTTAGAGTTTAAGTGTTTTGATAGTGCACTTTTTTTGGGCGTATGCGCTTGGGTTAGGATGCTCGTGTCTTTGGTTGCTTGACCTGGAAGATTTTTCATGTTTTTTTTCCTACATTCGTTCTGGACGTATTTCAGTTCGTAGAAAATTTCATCCAAATTGATATTCTATAATGATCAGTCCGGTTTTAAAATCATTACTGGTAACAAAAAATGTTATTAAAATGGATGACAATAATGGTTCACTACTATTATGTTAACAAATAAGCATTTAAAAAAATTTCTAAGTTAAAAAACCATGTTGAAGGAAGCTATATTTCAATAAAATTTTAAGGGTCAGGAAAGAGTCTAAAAATAGGTCTAAACTTAAGAAGTATTGGAAAGTTGGTCAAGACTTTTTTATTTCATAACAAAAAGGACACATTTCGAGCTATTTTAGAGGTTTTTGTCACTTCATTGATTTTTCTCTAAAACTGCCCTTTTCGAGGAGTTCTGAGGGATTTCCAAGTCTCTGATACCCAAAACTGCTCGAAAAACAGGAAATGGTCAGAAAATATTCTAAGTCCACAAAACTGATGACCTTTTCGAGGAGTTTTGAGGAGTTTCCAAGTATCTGACTCCCAAAATTGCTCGAAAAACAGGAAATGGTCAGGAAATATTCTAAGTCTACAAACTTGGTTGAGCTCCAGATTCCCTCTAGAATTTCTCGAAAAATAGGAATGAGTAAAGAAAATATTCTAAGTCCACGAGATCAAGACAAGCTCTCAAAACCCTAGAATTAATCGAAAAGAGAAGGCAATGAGAAATTATTCTAAGGTCATAAACTAAATAAGCCTCCTAAGACCCTCCCAGAACAACTTGAAAGATGAAAAATTGACTTGAAAGGTTAAGTTCAAAAGCAGTTACTAACATTGGGCAAAGGTTCAACTATGCAAAGAAAAGATCGTGGGTGATAACGGTTACCAGCAGTCATCGACAGCACGATCACAAGCAATCGTGGATAATGGACATAACAGTTGAAGGCAGTTACTAAGAAGTGCCTGCAAAAGGAGGAGAACAGTGGTGATCTCCTGCCTATAAATATCCCAAAGTGTCATTTTACGAAAGAAGACTTTTTACATCCAGACACTGCACCTAAAACTCTCTGCACGCTGAAATCCTGCACCGCACCAAACACCAGCTACAAGAAGACTCACGGTGACCGCTGTCCGCTGTTGTGAGGAGTCGTACGTTTACATTCACGCACCTTTACATTCCTGCACATTTACCTTTCTGTATTTTAATTCCAGATTGTTGCTTATTTTATTTTTGCAATTTGTTTCCTATTTTGAACTTTTCTGTAAAGAACCTCTATGTTTGATTCAATTCTGCACGTTTACTCTTCTCTATTATTGCTTAATATTCTTTTTACGCCGTTAATTTGAGCATCACATTAACAACACACTTAAAAGAACCCAAAGAGAACTTAATCCAGTCCCCATATTGTTCTTGGATTATTTGTTTACAAAACTGTCATTTTCACCGTAAACACAAATATATATATCAAGATATATTTTTCATACAATAACTTGTACACATTTTCTTATATATATTGTGAAGTTCATTAAAATTGAAACGAATGTGTTAATAAGATTAAATACTAAAATTTAAATTGAAATTCTCTAACAAAATAAAAAAATAAAATATCAAAATAATAATTGATTTTGTATTTTAGTTCATTCTTCTTCTTCTTTTTTGTCAAAGTTTTTTTTTTTTCCCTGTTCATTTGAATTTGTAGACTTTGGCGAAACGGACCGTAGAGAGAGTAGAAAGCCCAATATCTGGGGCGGAGAAGCGCCAAACCCTAAACCTGAGGGTTAGTTTCGAAAACGTGGAACGTGACATGGAAACGGAATCGAAGAAGGAAGTTGAAGTGGCTCCGGCTCTCATCGCCGTTCACCCGGAGGAATGCTCCGTTGCCGTGGCGGTTGGACCGGACCTCCGTGTCTTCGACCTTCTGTAAGCGTTTCCTCTCAAATTCATCTCAATTTCAGTTACTTATACATAAGCTGATGGTGTCAAACCTTCCTACCCCACCACAGTGATGGTTGTGCAGCTTCTTTAGTAGATGACTCTGGCGGTGATCCTTTCCATAAGGATAACATTAGAGCCATTCGTTTCGGTGCAAAAGGAAAACTCTTCGTATCAGCCGGTGACGATAAAACCCTCAAGATTTGGTCACCGCAATCATGGCGTTGCATTTCTACCGTGTAATAACTTCTCTCACTCACTCACGTTTTGCGTTGTGTCACGTGCATTCATTCAATTCAGTAATTTCTTCAATTCATTCAATAGGTTATCCGAAAAGAGAGTCACTGCAGTTGCCATTAGCAATGATGGAACCTTCGTTTGCTTCGCTGACAAATTCGGCCTTGTGTGGGTTGTTGACCTCGATTCACCGTCGCGTGATAAGAAACCAACTCCACTTCTTTCTCACTATTGCAGTATCATCACTAGCTTGGTTAGTCACTTCACATTTCGTTCATTTTGCTTCTTTTCTTTTGTTTATTATCTTATTTAACTTGAATTGCATTTGATTGTTATTGCATGCTTATTTTCTGCAGGAATTTTCCCCCGATGGTCGTTTTATTTTAAGTGCTGATCGTGATTTCAAAATTCGTGTATGCTAACTTTTTGTCCTCGCCCGAACTGCACTGTGTATTATGGCTCATTTTTGGCCTCTGTAAATAACTGTATTTATATCACAGGTTACTAATTTTCCCAACAAGCCGTTAAATGGAGCTCACCAGATACAAAGTTTCTGTCTTGGTCATACCGAGTAAGTGTTGTCTCTATTAATTAATCTCATAGTTGGTGACTTTCGATGAATAACCATTGCAACCTTTTGTGATTACGGATACCGAGTGCTCCTTATGCCCTTTCTGGTATGATCCATCTCAAATTATTGAGATCGTCAAATATGAATTTTACAATTCAAGATATTTTAAGTGGGATTCTTTTTCTAGTTGTACTTTCTTCCTAAACAAATGATAAGCTGACATGTTTTTTGCTAAATAAAAGTGGTCTTCCAGGCTTCCAGATTCTGACATGTATCTATTTGCAGGTTTGTTTCCTGTCTTGCCTTCGTTCAGGCTCTGGAATGCCCTCAAGGCCTTCTTCTCTCTGGCAGCGGGGATTCTACTGTCAGTAATTCATTTAACCTTTCAGGATTCAGACTTCCTTTTTGTTTTCTTTATAATTCTCTTTTAAATGAAAGTAATGTGAATTGCTTTCTGCAGGTTCGGTTATGGGATATCACCTCTGGAGCTCTTCTAGATACATGTGAGATTGCAATTAAGGTATTTTGATATTTATCAGTAGCTCAGAGTTGTATAATTTTTTCCCCTTCACTTCAATATGAAAGAATTTTGAAAATTATTACAAGATTAGTGGATTAGTCAATTCTTGTTAATGTAAATTAAGAAAATTCTAGTGATTCTTGTCTCTTCTTGCAGTTACACTTGGCTTTAACTTTCTTGTTCTTCATCCTCTGTTTCCAAAGGCAGGATTTTTAGAGTCTAATGGCAAAGCAGAGGAGCATAGCCATGCTGTTACTGATATATGCACCATCCTGGATGGTTTACTTGTTGCAGTGGCCATTCAGAGGCAAGTCTCTCACTGCAGCAATCTGTCATATTTCTCTGCAGGAGAATTGTGTTGGTTTTTACTAACAAGTTTTATTTTATATCACTGTAGCTTGCGAGGAATAGTATTGTTGAGTTGCAATATTCGTGCACAAACTCTCTCTGTTGCCAAGGTAATGGATTGATAACAGCTGCTTGAGATGACCATTGACTTGCATGGTTACTGTCATATTTAGTTAGAGTCTGTTTAATCTCTTGATATCTATTTTTCATGTTTGAAGTTAGATTTCTACTTGTGCGTTGTCATTATGAAAGAAAAGCTAACTGCTAAACAATAGGGTGGAAAGTAAGTGTTTTTAAAGGCTGGCATTTAAAATGACGGGAACACTGCAGGTGGTCTCTGTTGTAGGAGAGGCCTTTGTCCCCACCTGCTTGGGGAGCAGCCTCTCCACAGCAAAATTGTGGATGGTTACTGGTGTCTCTAGTTTACCTGGTTGCAATTGCCCATCTTTGGCTCGTGTCCGAGTAATTTCTGGGATTGATGTTGAGCAAGAGTCAGTTGTTCTGGGAGATGATAACATACCTGGGGGAGAAAAGCTGCTAGAAACGTTGCAAGGAACTGCATCCATTGATGACAATGCATTTTTAGCGGCAGCAGAAGCCGTCAAAACAGCAATGTGCAACCTATTAATAAAAAAACAATACCCTGCAGAAAATAGAGAAACTAGGAAGAAGACCAGAAATGATAGAAAACTCAAGGGCTAGCAATGTATTTATTTATTTTGTTTTTATTGATATATATGTAGCAGTTTAGATTGGTTTCCTTGATCCCAAAGTTCCCTACGACTATTCTTGACTCTGTTACCCATTTTATTTGTTTTTCTGATAAACTGTGCATCTGAAAATATTAAAACCAGAGTGCCATCAATTTTGTGGACGCATTTTTAATTTATCCGCAACATCTTGTAACTGTAGTTCATGGAGTTGGAGTGCAGGTTAGTAAAATTACATTAACGAATATCCAACCCCTTCTAATTAGTCTGGTAAATTGAGACAAATTGGGTCCACGAGACAACTGCTTGTTAATATTCGGGGTCTGCTCAAGTTATATAGACTGAGAATACTTTCTCATACCTGCATTTAGCTCAAAAGCATGCAAGCATTGGATTCTCTATAGATGTCTCAGCGGAACCAGTGTCTAAATTAGCTTATTATGTGTTTAAAGCAGTTCATAATTATTTTTTAAAAATTATTGAAAAATGATTCATGCATGAAAATAGTTCTAAAAAAAGTTTTAAAAACTATAGGCTAAGCCAAATATGCACCTAGTGTGGACGATGTATATTAGACGACTTATTGTGAAGGACGTAGTTGGTTTATTAATGAGTTTACTTCTTTTTTGTTTGTTGTAGAAGTTTACTCCAATGGCGGAACTCGTGCAGTAAATGAATCTTCTATTTTAAAACGAGGTGCATCCAAAATAAATTACAATACAGATGGTTTTTTAAAAAATAAAACTAATCTAAATTGAATTTATATTTATAATGACTTAATTTAAAACATTAAAACTTTAAGTTATTAAAATAAAAAAAGAAATAATTATAATTTATTTTAAAAAACATTAATCTATTAACATCCTTAATTTCTTTTTATTCTAGTCAACGAGTTTTAGTTTGGTAAACAAGATTATTTCTTCTGTGACGCATTTTGGCCCCTCTGTCAAAATAGCAATCATATACTATCTACCCATCAGTTCCGAGGTAAAATTTTCAAAATACTAAAATGGAGAGATATGTTATTATCTCTTGAGCATTTAATCAACAATAATTAAAATGATGTGGTTTGATGCCATCAATGACCGCTGGCGCAATCAAGCAATTCCAGTCATTGATACCCTAAACTGATAGAGATGTGAGGTTGACAATGTAATTACAATAAGAGAGAAAATAATAGTTTTAGATATATGCATCTGTGTATCTCAAAAAAATGAAATCACTGATTGATATATTTGATAAAGTTAATGATTTATTAAAAATTAATGTCAATATATAATATGTAGAACATGATGTGAGTACTGTCTTCACGACATGGCCAACATTGGCAACGGGATGGTTTATTAATTGGGTCTCAATCATTAACCACCACCACCATAGGCCTCAAAGAGCAACACTCCACCGTGTACACCCTTCCGATATTAATTATTTTGTTGGGTTGTGAAAAGATATTCCTGTTGAGATATAATGGTTTTGTTGATGGAGAACTACTTCATTGAATAATTGTTTGGTAGATGGCGATGTGGCTCTCTAATCTCTACAACTAAGCGCAAAGCAAAAACAATATGGAATGGGAGCAGAGTGACATGACATGAAATATTTTTATTCAGACAAATATTGAGATCTAAATCACCGGTTTAAAGCAAATTATTTAAAGGAATGAGTGGTTGAGATTTCTTATCTTTCACAATTATTTTTTGCGTTCGCGATATACAGTGCGCGTTGAAGAATGGAAAGTTGGGTTTATATTATCAGATTAATATACACAAAAATAACAAAACGTAAATATGCAACGGTGAGATTAATTCATTCATTTGGGGTACGAACATCACGGGTCATTGCTCATTTATTAACAGTACAGCAACGTTTATCATGCAAATGATGTAACCATTACAGTCGTACAAAATTCATAATTTCAAAGATATTTTTTAACTCTATTAACTTTACTTCATCTTTAATCCATCGTCGTCTCCTCCTCTGAAATTATATATATATATATATATAAAGAAAAATTTTAAAATGTAATTTTCTTAAAACACTCACTTTTTGAGTGTTAAATAGGTGAAGAAAAAAAAAGAGAGATATTGTTTGGGATAAAAAAAAATTTAAATTATAAAATTTTCTACCAGATTTTTGTGGTAGAATATAGATTATGTTCTTTTAAGAAAAAAATATCTCAAAGTTTAATAGGGTGGACATAACCTTTGACTACAAATCAAAGGAACTTAAGCTTTCACACTTTCACATAGACTTGTAAAATTATTTAAGTTTTAAAATTCTGTTGGGAGATCTACCTTTCAAGAAAATTTAGAGAATTGCAAAAGTCTTTTCAAGAAGGTTATAGTTCAAACAGTTCTAACAGAAAGGCTTAAAACTAGTTAAAAAATAGGACTGACAAAAAAATTATTCTAAATCCACAAAAAACTTTTTTAAGGAGTTTATAAGGATTTTTCTAATCCCTGAACTGAAAATAACCAAAACTGGTTGAAAGATAGGACTGAAAAGAAAAATATTCTAAGTCCATAAGACTAAAGGTCTTTTCGAAAAGTTTTTGAGGATTTTCAAATCATGACATCTAGAATTAGTAAAAAACAAGAACTGACGGGGAAAATACTAAGTCTACAAAATTGAGTGAGATCCCAGACTTCCCTAAGAATTACTCAAAAAACAAGAATTGATGAAAAAATTATTTTAATTCTACGAGACTGAATGAGCTTTCAGATTTCCTTCAAAATTGCTCGAAAGATAGGAAATGACAAGGAAAATATTCGAAGTCCATGAGACTCAGATTTCTTCCAAAATTGGTCAAAAAGTAGAAATTGATGGAGAAATTATTCTAAGTCCATAAGACTAAATGAGTTCATAGATTTTCCTCAGAAATTGCTTGAAAAATAAGAATTTAAGAAAAAATATTATAAGTTCACAAGAGACATGATAAAGCTCAAAAAGTGATATCAAAAGAGTTATAAGGCTCAAAGCAGTTATCAACAACTACCATCAGTGGAAGGTTAAAGACACGAAGAAAGATCATGAGCGATAGCAGTTATGGAAGAAGCCTCAACCGACAGTACGATTATATGCAATTGTGGATAATGATGGGCAGTAGTAGTTGAAAACAAGTATGTATGGAAAATAACTGCTAAGAAGTGTCCGCGAAAAAAAGAGATCGGGGGTGGTTCATTTGCCTATAAATATTACAAAGCTTTACATCACCGAAGACGACTTTTTGTACCTAGATACTGAACCTAAAAATCTCTGTATGCTGAAATTATGCACCGAGCCAGACACTAGCTATTAGAGACTCATGGTAGTTGTTGTTCATTGTTCATTGTTACTAGGAGTCGCACATTATCTTTCTGCAAATTTATATTTCTGCAATTTACTTTTTTTGCTTTTAGTTTCCAGTTTGTTGTTTAATATGTTTCTGTAAATTACATTTTGATTAATATTGTTACATGGTTTCTGTTCTATCATTATTCTACTATTCTTATCTAATTTTGCTTTACGACGTTAATTTTGACATTAAATTTAACAACACACTGAAAAGAATTCAAAAAAATTTAAAATTCAGTTTTCAAATTACTCTTGAATTTATTTATTTATAACTTATAATTTTTACCGTATATAGATATACTTAGTAATGTGATAAAAATAAATAAATTTAAAAATAAAATTTAAAAATATAATGGTTTTTAAAATAATTATTTTTTATTAAATATTTTGTACTATTTCTTAATTATAAACTAATGGTTAAAATTTTTTAACATTTAGTTAAACCATATATTTTTTTATAGTATAATTTCAAGAATTATTTATATATATATATATATATATATATATAACTATATATGTATATATATATATAGTATTTTTAAAATATTATGGAAATATGAGATCTGAAAATCGTTAACAATATTTTTTAGCGTAGATGCATAGATTAGATTTTATTTAAAATAAAATTTAGTATAAATTTATATTGAATTTTAAGAAACAAACAACTATTTTTAAAACATAAATTAAACATGCTCTTAATAGTCAATACTGAATTTCACTATAAATATTTTACAACTTTCTCTGTTATAGTATGATCAAAATTAATGTAAAAAATCTCGATCATAGTTTTATCAAATTTGAATTGTTAGTAAGTAACATGACAACATAACATTATAAAAGAGAAAAATATAAAAGTAACATCAATACTGCCTAGCGAAAAAATCAATAAATGCGCTATAATAATTGTGTTTTTTCTGATAGCTTGAACATTGTGTTTTTTCTGATTTAATGCCACATGATATTGACAATGTGGTCATTTTAAACTTACCAAGAAAATAGCGGCAAACCAAAGATTGAATATATAACAATTTTATGTATAATGTATGATAAGTGGTCCCAAACTTAATTTGTCGCATGCAATGTCTTGTGATTTTGGAAAAATTAACACGACCCATACATTTTTATGGTTCTTATGATCGAGTCACGTCCCTCACCATCAAGATCCATAGCCTTTTGCTCAATGTAGTTCTTCTAACCCATTCAAAACAATGAGACTAGATAGTGGTGCCACTCTACCTAACTACTCTTTGGTTCTCTTCATTTCTTAGAGGTTTTATTGCTAACTTAGATGATTGCTCCATCACTGTGGTTGAACTCTTCAAGCCAAAGATCATAAATATTCAACCCCGTCTTAATTACTATGAATTTCGCATCCTGCCTTTACATGATTGCGGGCTATTTGTTTATTAAATTAAATAAATTTTAAAAGAAAAGTTCTTAAAAAATAAATGAATTTACACACAAGCAGGCACAACACCAACATACAATGTAGTTGTCTTTATTTCTAAGAAATTAAATGAATAATTAATGCATATTACTAAATTTCAAATTTACTCAATATGGAAAATAGTAATGCTTGTGACACACACATAATTTGTATTATTTGATGGGCACTAATCCCACTGGAACTTTCACCTATTTATGTTCTAATTTTGACATGTCAATACATTTGTGGAAACACCAAAACATGGCTCTTCTTCTGTACTGCCTCAGCCTTTTTCCCATACAAACAACACTATTTGAGGGGTCACCTGTTTTGCTATCATCACCTGCTAGATTCCCTTTTGTTAATATATACATATAATTTTCTCACTCCCTTCAGAATGTAAAAATAAAATAGGCCACCCCAATTTAATTCATTTCTGGACTTTTTCTCTTTGTATAATTTTGGAAATATGTGCAGTATATGACCAAACAACCCATGTTAATATCCAATAATTCGAAAGACAGCCATAGCATTTCAATATGCTATTTCCACACTCCCCTTTGCTCCACGTTTTTATTGTCCTCTTGGTGTTTTCAATTCAGGGAAATGGAAATTGTTGAAGACCTGTTTACGTGTTTTGAAGAGGAAAAAAAATACTTTCAAATCAGAGAACTATTTTTAACAATATACATGTAATTTAAATATATATATATATATATATATATACAATTATAAAGATAATATAAAATAATTTAACAATTAAAGTGATAAATCTTTACGAAAAGTTATTAAATAATATAAATGTTACATATATTATGAGAGCAAACAAATAAGACGTAACAGTGCAATACTTTCCTACTAAATCTTTCACCACAATTAAAAGCAAAAGTGCTGAAATTTTGGAATCGAAAGTCAAAATCTTAAGGGTAGCTGAGGTGGTAAGTGATGAGGGCTTTGTTGGTCAAATTGACAAATCTTCTCTTATAAACTCAATCATGTGGTGATTTGCTCCCAAACGCTGCCACCTGTTAGTATTTTGCAGCAAAAAATAATTGACACATTTTTTAATATATTTAAAAATATCTTCCAAACATTATCTATTTAGTTTAGGCCCAAGTCTAATCCACTCAAGTAAATGCCACATTTTCTTGTTTGCCACTTTAACTTTAATATTATTAGATGCCTTTGCAGCTCATTACCAAAACTGCAGTTTTAAAAGAAATGTTAAAAATTATTCCAAAATATGTAATGTTAAAAATTCAAAAACAAGCAAAAATAAATAAATAATTCTTCTTTTTCGCTACAAAATATATTTTTGTCTTATATAGTACAGATATACGGCCCAATAAGGAAAAAGTGGGCCCTGGATAACACTGACAAAGACACGCCTCTATAGATAGGGCCCACCTTGGGCCTAAGGATAGTAGAAGTACGTTACGTGGGACAGGTAGGTTTCATTAGTGGGTCCCTGCCCCCGAGGATAAGCAATAAGCATAATGCACTCTACGTCTCTCTCTTCTTTTGCTGCCTCGTTTTATATACATTGCATCATTTTTTTTTTATTAAATCTAAATCTAAAATATTTTATTATTATAAAACTCTCAGTTAAATTATTAACACATTCAAGCGACTCTGCTTCATTGATGTATAATTCAATTGTTCATTAAGAGGAAACCTTCCCTTATTCTCGAAATATGCAATTTTATGGATTCAGTTATTTAAATTTTAAAATTTAAAATATACAAAAATATATTAAAATTTTAGATGTTAGTTTATAAAATTAATAATTATTAATAAATTTAATTTATATTGTTAAAAATATTAAAATTGAATAATAAAATGATAATTTTAATTTTAATATTTAATTTTAACAATAAAGATTAAATTGATGGATACTATTAATGTTTAAAATTTTAATTTTAAAAATTGATTTAAGTTGAATATTTGAAATGCTAAAATGCATTTTTTTTTTAATCGGCGATAGCTTATTAAGCATCGTTTACCCATGCCCTCAATTATGACAATGATGATGCATTGCTGTGCAGCAACAGAAAGAAGAAAATAGAGCTGATTAGTTGTCAGTTTAAATTGCGTGCGGTGTTTTATAATTTTTCCAATTTCAACATACGCTGGATTTTATTTTATTGATTTAAAAGAATAATAAATAAAGATTCATCTGCAATGATAATTTACCTACCAAAACGAATACTCAATTTTCTAATTATATTTGATAATTAAAATTACTTTATGTTATATATATTTTTACAAAATAAAGAACATTTACTGGATATATACAATTTTTTGCATATTATATGAAATCCGCAACTGAACCTTAATTCAAAAATAAATTGATAACAGTAGCTTTTGTGTCCGTTTCCTTGTTTAAGGCACTGTGACTGCAATTGAGTCTGGACAAAATACCTTTCATCAGCGAAGAAAGCATACAGAAAGGACAAAAATCAGTCTGTTTATTGACGCAGTTTCGATAGAAAGAGAAATGGCATTTAAAATAATAATTTAAAAGTTTTTGAAAATGGAATCAAGGTTTAGGAATTTCTTAAAATTGTTCTTTAACTCTTTAAGCCTTAATACTACGAGAAAAAAAATATTAAATTGCATATATACACTTATTCATGATAATGAAAAGTAGGCCACTTTAAAAAAAAAATCATAAAATTAGGAACCTTTTAGTACTTTTATTTTTTAAAATAGTTAAAATCGTTAATAAAAATAATTATATATTTAAAATTTACTATTTTTAACTAAAAATTTATACTTATCCCAGCACGTACCATACATAATTAAAAAGAATAAGAGAAACCTTGTTTTTATTCTCTTTATATTTTAATAAAAAAATTTAAAAGAGGAATTAAAAAGTCGAGAGTATGAATAACATTTTCATTGTTGTATTTAACAAATATAAAATTTAATAAAATCCACAATATTATCTTTTACCGAAAAGAAACCTTACAAAATTATCATATAGTATGTTGAAATATATTCTTCAACATTATATATTATATTTAGCTTTAATTTAATTTCTACCTATAATTAATTTCTAATTCATCCTCATGATTTAATATTTTATAACATCAAAATTTGATGAAAATTGACACGAAGTTAATGTAAGATATAAGAATAAAATTAAACTTTATTGTTAATATAAAAATAAAAGTATTATAAATTTGATTCTTAAATGTGACATCTTTTGTCCACACATATATTAGTTTCATTTTTACATTTATTATATTATAACATATCTTTTAACATATAAAGTTATAATTATACTAAATGATAAAAAAAAATAAAAAAATACGAAATTGATCTAAATAGTAAGTAACTTTGTTTAAATAAAATATTAAATTAAAATTTTTGTGTATATAAAAAATTTTCAAAATAAATATACTCACTTTAATTTGGATAAAAAACTAAAAAAATAAATAAAAAAACTATTATATATAAAAATTAAGTTTCAAACATCTTTTAAAAGTCAAAGTAAAAGTAAATATCATATATGAAAACAAAAATATATTTTATCATATAAAGCAATAACGTTTGATTTTCATGCACACGCCTCCTTTTGCTTCTCCTTCATTTAACACTTAACTGGCATTTGCATCCAAACACGACTCCCTCAACTCTCTCTCTCTCTGCCCCAAAAGGCCAAAGCTTCCCTCTTTTTCTTCTCTTCTTCATTGTTCTAATGCTCTTTATTTAAAGTTGCAGATTTTGCACCATTAAAACAAAAGACAAAAGAAAAAAAGAAAAAAAGAGTTGGGAATTAGTTATGGCTTGGAAGAAGCAGTTGTATTTGCTGGCTAAGCAAAACCAAACAAAGCTTAGGACTTCAAATTTGGGGTGATGAGTTTTCTCATAGAGATTGTCAAATTCAAAGCTGTTCATTTGTGATCTCTTTCTCATCCTGAACAACACAGTGTATAGCATTAGAAGATCAAATGGCAGAGCTGCTACTAATCACATGCCTTTCTCTACTTTTTCTCATTCAATAAAACTGACAAAAGAAACTTGAGTACCCATTTCAGTTTACCTGACAACAGTTTCAGATTTTTTATTTTTTTTTGTTTTTGTTTTTACTCTGTGTGAGTGTATGCAACAACAAGTACACGAAGTCACAAACATTCCCAGTACGCTTGGCTTCTCTGTGATAGAACCAGGAAAAGTACCAACCTTGATCCTCACTCTGATTGGTGTTTTTGGAAATAGTAACTGGCATCTGTCAGAGTAGCTTGTTAGTGTTATCACACTCTATAGCTATTTTGGGTGAGCTTTTATTTATCAATATATTTTTGCCATTCTTATATATAGTATATTATTCACAATCAGTCCGTTTCTAATTTTTGAATCTAATTGTTCATCTTGGTGTAGGAGTTGATTTTCCTTTTGAGATCACATATGCTGCTGAGGAACAGATCAAGGGCAGTGACCAAGCCAGGTTTGATGGCTGATCACAGTTCCCAGCAATCTCAAAATCAAAACTATACTAGAACCATCCCTTCCCTATTTGGGTCACCAAAATTCAGAGATTTCACCAACAAGTGTCTCTCAGGAACTGAGGCCTTAAGAAGCCCAACTTCAATTCTTGAGACAAGGCCATTATCCCCTTTTGGCTTTGGAATCCCCTTTTCATATGACAACAAGACACAAACCGTTCCTCACTCACAAAACAGAAGCTCTAGGGACAAGCCAGATTCAAAAGCTATTGGCCTTGCTCTTGTGGGTAATCTCAAAGATGGTGACCCTGTTGGCGACAATTCTTCTAAACCCAACAAAGGAAATGTCCTGTTTGGAACACAGCTTAGAGTGAAAATCCCATTTGAGTCTCAACCATGTGCTACTGATTTTGGAACCAACAAAACCAAGGACTCAAAAAATTCAGGACTATATGCAAAGGATTCTCCAAGTATGGAAATTCTGTCTTGGAGTGAGATGGAGCTTTCTGAGGAATATACATGCGTGATATCCCATGGACCTAATCCAAGAACTACCCATATATTCAATAATTGTATTGTGGAGAGTTATTGTTCACTCCCCCAAAACTCTCTCTCTGATGCCTCTGCAAATTTCCTCAGCTTCTGTTACACTTGCAAGAAACATCTTGAGCAGACAAAGGACATATTTATTTATAGGCAAGTATCATTCTCTACATTTCAATTCCGGCCTTAGCACTTTACATTATTGATTTTTTTTAGCCTTCCTGTGTGACTTACCTCAACCATAAAACAACAAAACTTAAAAGCCTTTTTAATACCCTGCCATTTTCTATTTATCATTAATTATACCAACATGAACTATATATTTTTTATTTAGTGTTTTTATTTAGTTTAATTCAGTTGAATAAATTTTGAGGGTGTTGAATTGGGTTGTCTTGCAGAGGAGAGAAAGCTTTCTGCAGTAGGGAATGCCGCCACCAAGAAATGGTGTTAGATGGTATAGATAATTTAGAATTTGAAAGTAATGGTTATTCTTGACTTCAACGTCCCTTCCCTTGCATGCACCGTGGCAGCAAAGTCCTGCATTTTGAGGAGGATAATAACCAGCAAGGCACAAAGTCAAATCAAAATTTTCCATTCTTCATCATGATTTCATGACTAGGAAGTAGTAACAGTAATTAGTACTTCATTGTAATCAATAATAAGGTCCCTTTTTGAAGAAGTATTTTGCTTTGTTTTTTTTTCCCCTCCTCTCCCTTGCAAATAGAGAGATAAGAGAGGATGTTGTAGAGTTGGTTCCAAGTGATGACTAATTTGATCGCTTCTTCTGGTTTTGCCCCCATTGTTTTCGGGTGAAGCAGATGAGATGAGATGATGTTGTGTGATTGAAAACAGTGCCTTTTATTTTTCTTCTTCTATGAGTTGATGATAATGATGGTGCTACCCAGCTATTGTCTTAGAAGGGGACCGGTTAATTATTTCTCACAAAGATTCCCTCTCTGCATGTACTCATATTATTATTATCCTTAGCCTTTGCTCTTCTCACCCCTATGTCGAGTTAATAAAGAATTCAGCAAACCATTATAATACTATACAAAACTGACAGTGACAGAAAAATATACATTTGTTAAAAGTCCTTTTCCTTACCCATTGCTTCATTATCCAATTATTTGAATATTAGGTTACCCTTAGAAACTTTGATACGTATAATAGAGAGAGAATCCCAAAATTTCAAACTTCGGGGTTAAAAGCCGTTTCTGATTAATTAAATGACCAAAATTCCTATTCCACATTCCATCACCTTAGTCCTAATCTATAATAGTAACGCCAACAAATTATATGTGTTCTGATCAGGCATAGTCACAGACAACAAAAAGGTATAAAATAACTGGAGTCATCATTAAAGGAACGAGCAGAAGTAAATGGACTTGGAAAGCCAAAAGATTTATGTACCAAAAAGAAAAAAGCCAAAAGAGTTGGGGTAAAGGTGTCCTATACTATGGCAAGCCTTAATTCTCCTTTCTCTCTTTCCCATATTTGGTTACACTAAATAATTAAATCATTGGCTTTACACAATTCTAGTAACTATATGTTGGGGGCAGATGGGATAAGTGGATGAGAGATCCCATGTTACTATTTAGAAGGTAAATGATTTCTTGCTTTTTTGTTTCCACCATTACGCAGCAGAAAAGAAAAACTTCCTTTAGTTTGATAAATATGTGTCTATTTTTTGTTTAATTTATAATGCATTTTAAAAATTTAAAATATTTTTTTTGTTCATTTACTTTTGACTTTAGATTTGGGTAATATTATGTTATTGTCTGTGTATTATATACTTAGATGCAACTCTTCTAAACTGAGAGCATATATAACAAGACAATAATTAAGTAAAAAAATTTCTTAATAAAACATTACTACTTAATGTTGTCACAGGTTAAATTAAACTTTAATTTTAATTAAAAATAATATTAAAAACCCCTTAAAATTTTCAAATATGAATAATTAGAATAATGAATATAAACATGATCTTATACATTCCTTGATCTCAGGTTGAGAGAAAAAACAGAATTTCTTCAGATGATTAGAGAAATGCTACCCGACCAGATCATAAAATGTCTTCATGTGTCGTAGAATGAAAGCAAATGGCAAACATGAATTGGTGGTATTGAAGGAGTAACCGAGCAATAGCATAACATAGGTAAATCAGAAGCAACCTTAAAATGGCGAGTGCAATGGTGATCCATGTAATTTAGCAAGAGAAACTGACGTGTAGAAATGGAGGGTGAAAACTCAAAAACACAACAGAATTGGGACCCAAAGAACTAAAAAGTGCGCGTGCCAATATGCTTAGATGCTCAGTGAATGATAATAAAGAACAAACAAAAGGAACCTTAAAGATGGCGACTACTTTGGCATCTTTCAGTGTTCTGACAGATGAGAATTGTACATCGTTGTGACACCTTTCGGATATCTATGGGAACAAGATAATCTCAAGCGCTAGCTACCCATTTCACCAAACGCAAAGCAAAAATAATAATTGCTATACAACAAAACCCGCATCACTTATTCGTATAATAATAAATTGATATGCATTGAGACCGTAAAATGTGAAATAAAATACACGTATAAATAAATATGTGTAACTAAACACTGGTAAAATAATCGATCTGACATTATCAATCTATACATATTCGTTAAAAATGAAAATTTGTATATTCAGTTTTAAGGTTGAATAAATTTATTTATTTTTAATCAGACCAAATTAAATCTATATAAGAAATAGTTCCATATGACTTAACTTGCATAAGTCTTATATCGCTATTACTGTTGCTATTATTGTAATTAGTATATATTTTTTAATATTTATTCTTTTATAATAAATTTTTGTCTAAGTTATTTGTTATTTAATTTTTTTATTATTGATTATAATCATATTAGTCAATTTATATAAATTAGTTATTCTTATCGTCTAACATTGTTATACATGAAAAAACCTTATACAAAGATCTGGACGGCGAAGTTTGATGAAAAAAAGTTGGTCCAAAGTTTATTTTTGTTTGGAGGTGAAATAATAGGTCATATTTTTTCATTTATTAATGATTTCATTCTTGACATTAATCGTCGTTTTATTTTTTCAGATACTTTTCCTATTTTGACGGAGATATCAATTTTTCTTAAAATATTTGAGATAAAAAAAAGATGAAGTTTTAATTTGTCTCTATTTTTAATTATTTTTTGAATATTGCTAAATATCTGTGACATTATTTGAGGAAACGTACTCATGAAATGGACAACATAGATGGCAGCAAAAGGGATGGTGGCATTGGGTCGTGGAAGGTTTAGTAAGTTACAGGTACAGTCATAGAAGTCAAACGATGATTGGATATGTACAATGGTGTCTATGTTAATTTATATGTTTCTAGCAATGATCAACCGTTTACAATGAAGTATTTATCGTCGTTCATTGTCAAAATATCCATATTTAAAATATTTTTCATTAATCAAATTAATATATTTTTTTACAAGTTCATATAAATTTTAATTCAATATAAATGATAGTAATATAATGTTGTGAAAACATACACTCCCTTATACGAATATATGATTTTGATGAATTGTAATAAGATGAGTTTTTAAGTTTTGAACCACTAATGGTTCATTTATTTTTATTGATTAATAAACTATTTACATATTTTTCTTTACATCATCAAACATCTAAGAAATTTCAGTAGAGGAATGCTATTCCCTTAAAAAAATTATATGAATTAAGTACGAATGGATGTGGCTGAACTAATCCAGTTGAAAAAAGTTAGAAATCATGGAGGAAAAAAGATTAAAATATGTCTCGATGATAATTAACAATAATTTGAAATTAAAACTCGTATTTGTAGTATTTAGCAAAATTCTTATCAATATAAAAAATACTTACACTATTTATTTAATAATTAGTTTTTATATAATGATTTGTATCATAAATTTAATAATAAAATCCAATGAAATAAATTATTATTATTTATTAAAGTCATAAACTTTTAAGAGAAATTTCTAAAACATTTGAATAATGGTGCAACATCAAAAAGAGGGGTGACCTAATCTAGATTTCCATTGTCATATAACGATGGTTGACGAACATTTGTTTGGGACAAAAACTGTTACTTGTGGTAAAAGTAATTGTGATTACGTCTAGTCCTATGTTCCATTCGATTGTGCCAATCATCCTTATCAAAGCCAAGTTTCCGTATTATACAATGTTTATTGGACGAACAAATTTGACTAGGCAGAGTAGAAGTTAATTTTGTGACAGAAACAAGAATGAAGCACAAATTGGGAACCATTAGAAAACAAATCGATATTGATTTTAGTTTATATGTATTAACCAAGATATGAGTATGAGACGTTGTAGATAAGGTTTCAATAACTATTATATTATGAAAGGAGATCAATGTTGAAACTGAAACTATCATTAAATCATACCAGGGTCTTGTATACAAGTATGTTTCTGGAGTATAACTAATTGAAATAGGTAATATCTTAATTCTTTAAGAGATTTGAACTCTAAATCACATATTAAACTGAAATTACATCGTATCGGAATTGTAACAAATAATCATATTGATCTTATATGACAAGTTAAACAATTTTTAGCACCGATAGCATAAAATTGTCTCAGATTGATGAATTTTGATATGGTGGCTGTAAATTAAAATTTGACTGTCCTCGCTTTGTCTCTGGAATGTGATTTATGATTTATAATTCATGTGGATGATTTACGAATTTTGATATGGTGGGTTAGATTTTCTGAAATATGAAAAGTACCAAAGGTGGCATTTCATCACAATAGTAGACCAGTACTTGGGGTTTGAGTCCTAAAATTAAGAAAATGAAAATACATGTGATTTAGAGTAGACTAAAACCTTGTTTTTCTTCTCGAAGTGATATCAGGGTTTTAATCAAAATTTCAAACGGACACGTTGGATCCACGTTATTACAATAGAGTGCATGCATGTTGAACAACCCATTGACATTAACATGATTGATATTACCCACAAAAAAGAGTGACAGAAACTTATATCAAACGTCAACGACAAAACTAAGCATTGTTTTTTAAAGTATTACATTTTGTGAGTTGTGACGTAGTACGAAAGTGGGAAGCGTTCTCTTTGAATAATTGTATGTATTTCTCAAAAGGATAATCACACTTTCGGTTAATTTCCTCCAAACGCAGAAGAAATTATCATTCTTTCCTATTTAAGTTCAAACGGTGAAATATCTATTGTGGGAATTGAAACTTACTCCTATATAAAATAGGGTAAGGTGCACTACACAATTTCTTTATATAAAATAAATGGTTATTATTACGCACACAAAACATAAGGTTTGTGACCCTTCAAAATAAAAGATAAACTTTATAATAAGAAAAAACACATTTTTGAAAATTTCAATAAATAATAAGATCATTAATGTATAATCAACTTCAAGCGACTAATTGAATTTAACAGAACACTAGAATAAAATCCATTTAATTTATGTCAAATATTATTATTCTTTTCCTATTTTATTTGTACATTATCTTTATTGTTATATTTCTTTATCGTTTTTAAAAAATATTGTGCTAAAAATAAATATATAATATATAATTATATAAATTAATTGTAAGTAAACTACTGATTTACATCTATCAAACACAATAAGTAACAGATCAATGTCAAACATGTGAATAGAAAAAGTGCAGTATAATAATTTCTATCATATGTTATATTTAAAATTTAGCATAATTATAAAGTAGACATTATTCTGCCATTTACTTTGTGATTAATAATCGTGTGCCAATGGTTTATTCATAATAATTTATACAATTATATTTTTATTTATAACAAATATTTATAAAAATATATAAGATATAATTAATTTAAAAATATAATAAAAAAACTAAAATCCACTTGAAATGATGGAAAATAATTAAACAAAATTAACAATAGGATGTCAATTCTAGATTACCGACATCTTTTCTTTAATAAAAAAAAATATATCATTGAATCAAGAAGTCGATTTTCTCCAAACCCATTTTTTAACCCTTCAAAAATAAATCATAGTAATGTGTTTTAATTTGGCTAATGAAATATCCAATTTCTCAACGAGTTGACTGGAGCATTTTGAGAAATAAAATTACAAGTGAGATAAATTGAGAGTAAGAAAAATATTTCAGTAAAAGAGCCTTAAAATAAGTCCATTGTTATTATTAGGACCAAATAATTAAAAGCGGGTTGAAAAATATGCAATGAAAGTGTAAACTGTCTCACTGCGCACGCGACGAGGTGTGTTAGAAATACTTAAAAGTTTCATTTACAACAGAGTCACCAGACAAAACAGGGAATCATAGACTAATGAAGTTGTTATTTGCAATGTCGCTACAAGAACCGTTACTGTAAATACTTCGTATGTCCCACCATCGGAATTCATTTTAAGATTAAAAGTGCATTTAAATAATTATATATTTAATCACTAATTCAATAAGCTCTTTTTAAAAACAATGACTCGGACAATAAATTAAACGATGAAAATTGTTGAGATAAGTATTTTGATAAGTTCTACCAATTAACTTATTCAAAAAATATTAAAAATAGTTTAGGAGAGCAATAAGCTATTTTTCATAAGTTGTTCATAAGCTTTTTCAAACATGCTGTAAATAGGAATTAATTATCACCATCGTGATAGGAAAAATAAACCCCTTCTAAGATCAGTTGATGGTGTTATAGATTTCTTAAAAAATCATTTATAAATCAGCGAAGAAACTCAAATATCAAGCGCTTAACAATTAATTCAGATAACACATTGTGAATAGATAATAGTCACCAACAATTTTATTTCAGCAGATCATAGAAGTTTCATTAGTAAAAGAAGCTAAAAGAAAGAAACACATGAAAAGTTCGGAACTTCATAAAGTAAAACGGACTTGCGATCTAACTAGCTAGTAGCAACCTAGTCGAATATGACCACATACATCTCTAGAACAAAATAGCCTCGGTACATTTTTTCCTCCCTGTCACATTGAAACAATTCTCAGTAACAGCAATATATGGCATGAAAATAACATAGCAGAAGCACAAGGATCAAGCATGATCTTACCTTAATTTTGGCGTAGCGTGGTCAACACTCTCCATCGTCGAGATAAGCCAGGTGAAGACTATGGAAAGAAGCATTAACCAAAATTGAAAACGGAAAAATATTGGGGGCTTACTAACAGGTTGTGTAACCCAAGATTAACCCTACAATACTATGCAATTGGCAGCAAAAGATTACATAACCAAACCCCTCCCAACTTTTCTTTGTAAAAAACAGAAAAGATAGCTAAGGGGCAACCTAATTGTTCTCAGAGCAGCTAAGAAATGAGAACTTCAAGAAGGATTATATAGTAAAAAACAAAAACTAGTGAACAGTGGATCATCTAGAAGACCAGAACATATAGATAATGATAAGAAAGGAAAATTTAAATGGGGGAAAAAGGAGCAAAGGGTTGAGTTCTAAAGGGTTATTGTAAGTAAAAGATGCTACAATCTACAGTATGTACTATCTTTACCAAGAGGCCTAATCTTTTTATCAGATTAGAAGATAACCATTCTATGAGGGGTGATGATGATGTGAACTCCATATCATGAAATCAGGATTCAGTTTGAATATACAACTAACAACTTTCTTCTGCCTCAGTTAAATGAACCACAGTCAACCAAGTCTATTCCGTGCCACTCCAACCCATTAACACCATTCAGCTTCCATCCGTCACTTGAGTCGCAAAACAAACCCTGTTCCCAAACATCTGAGCCTGATCCAAAGTCCAAAACCATGAGATTCCCAACCCAATGTATTCATCAATAATCAACGTCTTAGTTACAGGAGCCTAATCTAACACTAACCCAACTTCATTAATTAAAGTACTTATTTACAGGAGCCTGTTGCTCCTTGGGTCTCATTCATCATCCCAGTTAAGATTTAGGATACGACACAGCGTCTTAGTCGCAGAATCAGCATTATCAAAGAGGTCTTTAGCAGAAGAGGAACACTTGCTACAAGGGGAGGCAGGGGCAGTATTGGGGAGTGGGGGCACTTCAACTTCAGGATAGGAACCAGGTAGATCAAGGGACACAGTTCTCTTAGGTCGAGCAGAAAATTTTGGGATAGGCAAGGAACTGGGTGGTGGAGAATTAGAGTAGGTAGGTCCAGCCCAGAGTTCAGAGAACAAAGTGCTCCTCTCATCAGGGACATGTTCACTGAAAGATCTCTCCTTTTCACAAGCTTTGTAATTGATGGGGACTGGGGTGCTACGGGGACTAGTTTTATTATCTTTGTTTGAGTTTGAAGGAGTAAACGGTGATTTTGAAGAAGCTAACGATGAAGTATTAGATTTGAACGGTGTTGGTAAAATACCGGAACCGGTTTGGAAAGTTCTGCAATTGATGCCCCTAAAGTCACTTGAAGGTGAAGAACCAAACCGAGAGCTGCCTTGTGACTTGGACCTGCTGTAGTATTGGTTCCTATGCTGCGTCACAACAAGTGTCTCCATTTGTAACATAAATCAACACTTTAACAACCCAGTACGAGGTATCAGAAACAACCCTCACAAGTAAAAACGCAAAACAAAACACTGTCGTCACACGGATAACCAGATCTTCCCAGATCAAAACTTTCCCGGATGCTGGAAAATAAATAAATAAATACAAAAGGATAGATTATTAAGGACTGACCGTGGAAGGAAAATATAAAAATAAAAACAAATATGAACGCTCGAAAGTAGATCAATCCCAAAAAACAAAAAAAGAACTTGCAGTGCTGAACATCACTATTTAATTTTTGTCGACAAAATTTAAAGTAAAATAAAAATTACCGATTAGTTCAGGAGAGACTAAATTGTTTCTTCTTCTCCTTTTCTTTTCTTGGAGACGGAGTTTGTTTTGAATTTGCAATGCACTGGAAAATAAAGAGGGTATATGGAAGTATTGAAGGAACGTGAAAGAGCGTGATATTGTTATTGTTGAGAGTGTTCGGCAACTGTGCCTTTTTGTCGAGACCATTTTTTTTTCACTCCTTCTATGTAATGTAACGGACGGATAACAACGCTTTTACCATTTTGCCCCTGTGTCAGTCCCAGTGAGGCTTTCTGACAGCACTGACTAAATTTCCAAAAACAATTTTTTTGAATTAACATTAAATCTACATTTATCAGAACTAGTCATGTCTATATTAAAATTTAAGCATAATATTAAATAAAAACACGTTAATGACACGTCACTCACCTCTAAAATGCGTCACGTAAGAGAGAGTTAATATGTGTCAATATCTGGTTTAGGAGTGGACATCGGGTGAATTCAAACTTGAGAAATTTAGACCTTAACAAATCGATTATAATGATAAGAAATTTATCTCCGATTGTAATTGTGTAGCGGCTACGGTGGATCACAATTTTGGCTAGTCACAGATTAAGCGGGTAAGCATATTTAGTTGTTAGCCAAAGTGTGGAATATAGCATGCTAGTTAAAGAAGAAATAAACTAAATAAAAACATCACATAAGATGTGAGAAAAAATTAAACAAGAAGAGAAATCTACTGTACAACTTGAGTTGTATGCTACAAATAGAAATTCAAGATGACTATTTCACAAGTTGCAACTTGCATCTTTCCCTTTGATGGAGAGTTTGGGAAGGTTAGCTTTTTGGGTTTTTGCTTTCTACTCATTAGTATTTGAAATAGAAAAAAGAGTGTTATGAATATTAGATAGAATAGCACGTTCCCAAATTTTCAGAATTTTGTATTTAATGCGCTTTGACATGCCTACCTTCTCCTCCATTTGTTTAATATTTTTAATTAATCTTTTTATGATGGACCTACTTTTGAGTCAATCAAGTCAGTTATCAATAAAAAAAAAATTATATTACTTGATTTCAACTGTTTATATTCAAAAACTTGACATTCGAATCAATCTGTTTCTCTTTCTTTTATTCACGTACGAATATATCAGTGTTGATCGATCTTGAATTGTTGCTCACCTCTAGTATGGTGAGTGATTTGGCTCATCTTTAAATGCATCACTCACTAGTTATTGTCACTTCATGTTTTGCTATGTCACATGTTAACTTCTTTTAAAGTGTCACATTTTTATTTAACATTATGCTTAAATTTAACTTTTGATTTTGCCCATTTTAATAAATAGTTTTTCAAGTATTTTGTTTTAAAAATTTGTTTTTGAAATTTGACAATAAAAAAGCCATCAAATAATTTACATTTTTATTTTATTTCTTGAGTGCTAACGTAAAAATAAAAACATTAGAAATCATATTTTTTTTAATTAAATTATAATTTTTAATTGTAATGCATTCAATTTGTATTGTATGATTTTTAATAAATTACACGTGAATTCTTGTTATATAGCTTTTGATATACATTAAAAAATGATTTAATATTTTTATAATAAATTTTGTAAAAGCTTTTGCTTTTATCTTTTCTATTGTGTCACTTTCTTTTTTTACTTTTTGATAATTTGTAAAAAATGTTAAAATATATTATTAAAATATTTTTATTAATTAAAAATTTATAAATAAAATTAAACTTAAAATAAGATTTATATAATTTTAATAAAAAATTTAATAAATAGTACATTTTAAAACTATAATATTATTATTATAAAAATAACAAAGGTATTAAAAAAAAAACTTAAATGTTCATAGCTTTTATGGACCATCTACCTTTGTCAAATATTGATTTATAACGTGGATGTATAAGATTAAGTATGATAGCCTATAAAAGAGATTTTTTAGTTAGAACTCGAAAAGTTGCAATATAGCTATGTAAATTGTTTCTTTTTAAAACTAATACAAGTAATTTTAAGATATTTTGTTAAAAATAAAAATATTAAGAAAATACTATTAATGTATGCTTGTGATTTTAATATATTTTAAACATAATTTTAAAATTTTTAAATAATTATATGTATGGTATATTTTTTATTATTATTTATACTCACATTAATGTCAATATTATCAAAATTGTGATCAAGATTGCAAGATCACATGATCTTGCAATCTTCTTAAGACTTAATTATCTTAATCGCACGTAGGATCATAATTTCTTAGGATCACAATAAATCATGATCTTTCTCTTTAAGAATATAAGATCTATAATTAGATTTGATATTCTTATTTTTTGGTCAAATATATTGACTTGACTTAAAAATTACTCATTTTCATTCATTTTTGACATGATTTTTATATTAAAATCCTAGTCTTGTGCAACGATACTGTCTTTTTTTTTTTGTCTTTCCTAAGATCGTAGGATCTATAATTAGATTTGATAACCTTGTTTTTAGGTCAAACATATTGAACCAGTTTGAAAATTATTCATTTTTATTAATTTTTAACTTGATTTTTGGATTGGAATCCTAGTCTCATGCATCAATACTATCTTCTTTTGTCAGTTCCAAAATTTTGTTCATATTCTTTGTGTTGGTGCTTCAATTAATGAGTTGATTGCTCTAACGATTAGATTGCTCTTTGCATCGATGTTTTGTGCAACAAGTGAATTGTTTTCAATGTAGGTGCTTCTCTTTTATTTGTGCTCCTTGCCTTTGCATGTTGTTGTTTTAGTTAGAGTCATAATTGTTGGGAGGTGCAAATACTTTTTTCAGTTTTCTAGTTTATTCTCTATGAGAATGCAATTACAAATTGTGTTTTGTTTTGCTTCCCATACAAATACTACTAGGAATAGATTAGTGGCATTGGAAAAGAGAAGACGATTTAGGCAAGCAGAGTTGTTGGTGGAACTATGATATGAAAACTAAATAAAAGTGTTGATAGAATAAGAAATATGGCATAAAACCATGATGTTTCTATTTTTAGATATGTTAGGAGAATTAAATGTAAATACTGTGAGAATGAATATAATAAAAGTGTTTATCGCATCAAACATCATTTTGTAGGAACAAAGTAAAATGTTGGAGCCTGCATGATTGTCCTTGATGATGTTTGAAAGTAAACAAGGGATATTGTTAGATTACAAGAAAAATTTATACAAAAAATAAACATACAGCAAAAGCTTGAAGGAGAGGTAACAAAAAGCTATGTTGGTGAATCTAAAAATGTAGAGAAAAGGAAAGCATAAGTCATTGTTAAGACTTCAACAACCCTTTTCAAGAAAAAGGTAAGTAATCACCTAAGTTATAACCAACTCAATTTTTAAATAAAGTTTAAGAGATGATGCATCATTCACCGTACGAGATAATTGATAAGATATGCGATAATAAATACATAGACATTTGCATGATGTGGGCTACAACTTTAACCTAGTTTTGCATTATGCTTCAAATTTTAAAGTTAAATGTCAATTATATGAGTATTTAGTAAAAATAGTAGAAGATATTGAGAAAATTAATAAAATTAATAATCAACTTGAGTATTTCAAAGCTTAAAAAGAGTTTTTTTTATGTAAAAGTAGCAATTACTATATTGAAATTTAAAACTCTTAACACAATTATGAGAATCTTATGATGATTAACACTAAGAGTTGCAAAGATTTGTTATTTATATATTAAACTTGACATGTAGCTCATTTGGTTATGATCATAATTGAAATACTTTTGAAATGTTATGTAATTTATTTATTAAAATTACTAAGTAAAGTATTTTATTTAGTATGTTAAACTATTAATTATTTTTGTTGTTATTTGGGTTCACACAAAAAAATATTTAAAGCAAAAAACTATGATGTTTTTATGATAGCTAACTCAAAATTTGGCAATAATAACAAGAGGTGAAAAACATAATTTAGAAATTAAGATTATTTCTTTTGATGGCAAATACATCTATAGATGATTTGGACCTTCCTCCTTGCTTAATGATGATAAGGTCAATGTGAATGCTATTAATAAAAATGATTATTTTGAATATGATTATTCTAATAAAGCTTACAAAATATATTGTAGTACATGAATGTTAGTTTAATAAACTTGAAAATATATTGTTAGATTTATGAATTTATATTTCTCATACAAAAATTTATGTAATTTTTCATTTGACTAATTATGAATCTAAAGTCTATAAATTTTAAGATTATGTTTAGTTAAATTAAATAATTTAGATGCTAATTTTTGTTTCTATATTTTTTTTTATGCTTATGCATATGCATAAACATATAGTATTGTATGTTTGGTAAGATAATATGATTTATCTTACGATTTATGATATTTTATCTTCTCAATTATATGTAAGATCCTAATTTTAATAATATTGGTTAAAATAATGAAATGAGCATCATCTAAACTAACTTTTTTTTTTCAACTTATCAACTTTAACTAATTAGAAATCTATCTTTAAAAAAAGGATAAAAAATGTAAACTAATAACTTCACCTCTGTATCGTGTGGCTCACACTAGTAATTCAATACATTACTACCAATACTAGACTTTTTACAAACTTCAAACTACCATAGAATTATTCTTTTTTATCTTTTGGTCCAAATGAAAGGATTGTTGTCCTAAACTTTACATAAGATTCAAAGTTTGTTAAAAACTTTGTATAATGAGTAGAGAAAACATTGAAGATGGTAAAAAAACAGAAAGTGAGATAAAAAATATTTTTACAACGAAAGGCTTCATTATAAACATTTTTGTTGTCAAAATTATAAATAACGTATCTTATGAGTAAAATATTAAATAATAAAAATTATTAATATCTTTTATTGTTGTCATTTTCTTTGCAAGGTTGGGTAAGTGGTATTCCGCCAACTCTATAATGATAAGTCAACTTTTATTATTCCAAATAAAAATATATTTTGCAGTTATTGTGTATATATATATATATATATATATATATATATATATATAATTTTTAATATTATATTTTCATTACTTTTCTATCACATATAATAAATGTATACAATATTTAAAGCTATGTAAATAAAATTGTAATTAAAAGATAATATTAATGTTATTTTAAATGATTGAACTTTTATTATTATATATATAAATCAACTGGTAGGATATTATTTTAGTTTAATTTATGATCTCAAGTTAATTTGAAAGTGATGGATCCTAAAACATATATAGGGTAGGTACTACTAGTGAAAAGGAGATAAAATGAGGTGAAAAAAAATCTTATTAAAAAGAGCAATTTTATTGCCTATGATAAGTAGAAAATCCTCGTCCTTTTTTTCTGTTTTGATTTCTCCGAACTTGCTAGTTGCTACCAGTTTTTTGAGTGCTCGATTAATGGACTTTGCATTTGCCTAAAAATATAAGAGGTAGTATTTCTTTTGTCGAATATTTGATTAGCACGTAGCTTTGTCGGCCAGTGGCCCAGTTCTCATATGCTACAGTACAGCCCAGTTCTTACATGCTACAATACCAGGGAGAAAGAAGATTCTCAGCCTAGCCCAAATCCCCCCCCCCCCCCCCCCCCGGATAACTAAAAATTAAATTATCCAATTGGATTGAATTGGATTTGATATTGCTTCTATATATATAACTCAATAATGATCAGTTTGATATCTTTGCAATAATTTAATATTCTATGCTTAAAAAAAAAAAACATAACATTTTTGTTCGCAGAAGTCATTTTTAGTGATATTTGAAGTTTTTACTATTTAATCCCATGAGAAAACTATTCAGTAAATGATATATATGAAATATGAATTGATGATAATGCTTACCAGAATTACCGTGATTAGATATTGTATGCAAAATGAAGCAAAATATTCCGTCCATCAATTCTAAACTAAGCACAAGTCCCCCACCACGTGCTTGCAGTGAAGCCTCTGATAGTTTACGAATAAAAGGTAGTTGGACCATCCTTTTTTCTTTTTGTACCATACCATTCTTTCCTGCTTTTTGACCATAGTTTATCATTCAAATTCTGAAAGGAAAATAAATTAGAATTGGGCATGCATACCAGAGCACTGCTTTGGAGCAACAAATTTTGTGGTTCTGCATGCCATCTATTAGAAGCCCCAGGTTCTCTAGAGAGAGACACAATTTTTTTGTGGGTTGTATAGTATCTCATTTGGACTCCAGTAATTTGAGAGGATCTTTTCTACATTTGGTTACTCTCTAACATATCTTTCTTGCATGATGAGTAAAATTTTAATTGACATTGATAACTACTGTATATACTCCAAAAGAACGAAACATATACATGCTAGAATTTAGTTCTTTGGCATTTTCTTTTCCTTGTGTTTAAGCAAGGTGTCCTTTGAGTGGGTTATACTGTGTCCAATCTGGTGAACACAGGAGTATACGTACATTAATAATGGAATATTTAAGTAGGGGTCACTTTTTTGTGTTACTGAAATTGCTGGAAATTGCGAGCTCGCCATGATAAGGATAGAAACATAGACAAGATAATAATGGATTTATGACCATACAGGAATCGCTTCTTAAGAGAATTGATTTTAATTTTGGAAGGAACAAAAATTAAGAATCTCTTTCTTCATCATTTGGGGGCACGCTGATTAGATCAATGTCCTACACTCAACAAATTTTATAATTCTAATTATTTTGGATGAGAAATTCAATAGATTCTCATATAACTTGTTTATACTAAATAAATGTCTACTTAGTTATTGAGTGTGGGATTCAAATTTAAGTAATTACTCATCAAAAAATGTTATGATGTGTACATGTTTGAGCATTATATTCAATTAAGTTCGTACACACACAGAATTATATAATTATAAAATATTTATTATATTTTATAATTCACAATTATAAAAAAAAATCCTTAATATTTGTTGGATTGAATAGAATATTTTGCTTTTTTATTTTTATTTTTATTATTAACTTTAATATTCAAATAGTATTTTTTTTGTTGGGTAGTATTTAAAAGAAAATATATGTTGTATTTATTTGAACTAAGTAATGTATTGGGATAAAAAGAGAAAAAACCTCTACATTCATGTCATGTTCTCTAAAAGCACACGTGAAAAGAAGAAAGTATAGAAACATATAAATATTTTAACGTAGTTTAACATATTTATTCAGGTACATAAACTATTAATATAATTTTATTATTCTTGTATAGATAAAACTGTAGATTTTTTCTGACAATTTTTGCATAGATAAAATTGTAAATTCTCTTTTGATACACAAATACTTATTTTTAAATACAATTAAAAAATTTATATTAAATTCTAATTTTTATAATACCTTTTCTTAATACGAGACTTAAATGAATTATAAATCAAGTGTAATTTAATATCAGTGATTTAGAAAAAAAAATTAGTCTATGTTAATATGACTTTTGTGTAACTAAAACTAAAGCGTTTATACAAATATTGAGAATTTATATTGATAATTAATATATTATACCAACAAGAAATTATATTAGTACATATAAAATATTATTATACATCATCAATGCATTACATTGTTAACATATATATAGACTTAAAAATTTTATATTAATACGAAGAAAAGTAATTTTAACACTTAGTAGTTTTTATTTATTAGAAATAATGTTTTTGTCGCTATATAAGCATGTAATAAAGCTATTATTTTTATCAGTATGAAAAGTGTTTTTTTTAACAACATTTATGAATAACTAAAGTTGTTTTCTTTATTTTTAAAAAATATTTTTCTGATGCTTGTATAAAAAGATTAAAAATATATGAAAATAAAAAATTATATATTATATACGGTGTCAATTTTAGTTTAGTTAATTGTTTAAACTTTAAACAAAGAACTGATGCATGTATATAGATATTCTATACCGTATCCTGCCTATATGTTATCTATCAGAAACCGCATTTCGTGCCCTCTCTCTTACATATCTTTTTAGAAGAGAAAAAGTTCAATTGATCACAGAACCACATATCCTTCGAAAGAACGAAACACAAGTGTTGGAAGTTTGCTCTTTAGCTTTTCTGTTCCTTTTGATTAATCAATTTGTCCTTGAGTGGGTTATGCTGTTTCCAATTCTGTTAACACTGTGGTACACGTACATTAATAATGGAATATTGAAGTAGGGGTCACTCTTCTTTGATCCTCAAATTGCAGGCTCGCCAAGACAAGCCATTTCATGACAGTGATCATAGGAACATGGAAAGATTATTACGGATTGATGTCATCCACACTCCACAGTCGTTTTTAACAATAACAATTTGTATGCAACAGAGCATCTCCGAGATACATATTGATTATTATAAGGTATTTGTAAGTGCATGCTTGGAAACTTTTTTTTTTTTTTTCAAAAATTATCTCCCAAAACTGATAAAAATAAACGATTTTTACTTGAAAATAAATGAAAAAAAAATATACATACATGTATTGTGAAAAGGGTTTCCGATACATGACATTCCTGTGCGATGATTTCAAAATGAAAAGTGGACCAACCATGAGCATGCCAGTTCAACGTGAATTTGTCTTGTATAATTTGGAATTCTTCTTTAATTTTAATGTTTTTAGTTTAAAGCGTGTGTATATAGTTAATGTGATTGAAATTCACAATGACACTTGAAGGCTCATTGCAATGCTTTGTGCTTTGCTTTTGTTTGGTACCTCTTATAACCATTCCCCATGTGCCCCTTGCTTTCATCCCAAACAAAATCCACTTATCTTAAAACCTGAACCGTTTGACCATACGAGCCTTCTACGCGCTCGTCCCCTCGTAGAGTCAAGATGAATCAAGCCACTTACTATCTCATAGCAGTAACTAATTCTCAAATATTTGCAACTTTTTTATTTTTTCACTCACAATAGAAAGACAAAATTTGTTTCGCGCGTGCAGTGACGCGCCATAGAAATAAAGGAAGAGTCGATTGAAGACAACGGATTCAGTTTAATACTACAGCGTTTTACGGCTGTCCCGTCACCGTTGAAATCGTACGAACACAAAAACCACCGAATCCTTAAAAAAAAAAGAGCTTATCCTGTGTGCACTACAAAGGAGTGGGAGTATATATAACGACCAAGAAAAGAGCTTCTATCACTTATTCACATAAAGAAGTATCTATCAACTATGCCAAACAAGCTCAGAAGAAGTAGAAACAACCTTCGACTCAGACGCCTCAACCTATGTTTCTCAAATCCCATGCAGCCGTTCACACCTGAATCTCCCCCTGCAAGCCCCACACCTTCCTCATCATTTCTTCAACATCATTTTCATCACAGTCACAGCTGTCCATCATCACCACCCACCGCCACGTCATCAATCATTACCAGCACCGTCACCGCCGACCTCGCCACCGCCTTCGCCTCCCAACGCTTCTTCTTCTCCTCCCCCGGCCTCTCCAACTCCATCGTCGAATCCACCACCACCGACACCAATTGCACCTCATCTTCTTCCTCCTCGGTGATGGCCACCGCCCCTCCGACGCCGCCAGATGAATCTGCCACCGACGAGAAGGAAAAGAAGGTGCTGTTCAGCGGCAGTGTGGCGGTGCCGACCTACTCGCCGGACCCTTACGTGGACTTCCGGCGGTCCATGGAGGAGATGGTGGAGGCGCGTCCGGAGTTGATGGACGTGAAGTCCAACTGGCACGTGTTGCACGATCTTCTTCTCTGCTATCTTGCGCTCAACCCAGAGAGCACTCACAAGTTCATTCTCGGTGCTTTTACTGATCTTCTCGCTAACCTCATGTCCTTTTCTTTTTCTTCTTCTTCTTCTTCTTCTCCGTCGCCGGCGGTGGCGAGGGATGTTAGAGAATTTGATGAGCGTTGAGAGGGTTCATGTGCATATGTAAGTTTAAAACGTAACGTGGTGCCAGATAATGGTTGTCTGATCAATTTAAGATTAAATTTTTAATCAGAAAATCTTTTTTAGCCGATACATTAGTCTACGTTTTTTATTCAAGAATCATAATTAATATTTTAAATTTAATAAAAAATATTAATTTTGTATTATATTTTTTGTTTATTGACAATGAAATAAAATTTATTAAATTTTTATTTTATAAAATAAAAACAGACAAAATTAAAGGAGTTTATAATAAAAAGATTTCTTCCGCAAAACTAAACTTGGTTAATTAATGTGCTGCGCTGCTCACAATTTCACTTTAATTAATTAATTCAGTCAGTAGGAAGCAGTACGAACGAAGTGACACATTTGATTTTTGGTTCTTTTAGGTGCGGGGAATGGGAAACCTGAACCCAATCCCAATGTTGGTCCCCGTAGCCATGCATTCGGTGTCCTTATGCATTGTTTCTATTTTCTCTCTTTAGAATAATACTTGTTCTTGTTTTATTTGGAACAGAGGATACTCTCGTAAGTGCCAAGTTTAATTCAATATTTCAATTTTAAGGACTTTAATCAGGCTAGTTTACTTCAGCTGCATTACTCAACAGTTATATGGCTTGACTAGTGACATTGTTAGTTACAAACTTGTAAGGATTTTAAGAGGTATGCTCTTGCAATTGGATGGTAAAGTGTTCTTTTGGAATTCACATTCGTAGCCTTTCAACGATCATATTAGTTTCTAAATAAGTAAAATTAAACGTATAGTTCTTAGATATTTATTCAATTGCCAAGTTAATTATCATCAATGATGAATTTAATCTCTACAACGTGTAAAACGTGATAGGAGAAAATACTTTTTTTCTCAATATATTCTCCTACTCAATGAATGAGAGAATTTTTTTAAATACTCCAAGTCTTAAAGATTCATCTAGCTACTCTTTCTACGTACACTCATGAATCTTGAAATTGGAGTCAAGATCGCGTGTCTAAGGGTTTTAAATTCTTTATATTAAAACGACACCCTAGTATAGAAGAAATGCACATTTAAGTATTTTACAAATAATTTTTATCATATATAGTTTAATATGATTGAAATTATCTTTAAGAATTAATTTAATCATTTACTGACTGGATAATTACGGAAAGTTTTCTTTCATGAGTTCACTATATATTAAAGATTTACTCTCTTTCGCTTCTCAAGAAGCTAGTAAGTTTATGCGGCGAATGTAATGACGATATTTGGGATATTCAGACTTTCGGAGAAAAAAGTGTGTTTTCAAAACAAGTTTAGCTAAGAAACGTGCGGTTTATCTAAGGAAGTAAACGACTATTATTTTCCATACAATGGCATGAGTCATAATAGTGTATTGAGTAGTCCTCATCCTGAATTCTGCCATTATCACTATTTTTATGTCTTACTCTTATATATCCCAAATCCCAGTCAGGTCAGGTTTTGTCATGATTGTATGCAGACTCATAAAAGACGTAATTGCATTTTGCAATTGGCAATTCCATCTCTATTACCTACGTTTCCTTGTTAGATTTTGAATTCTTGAGACATTATTATTGTTATTATCATCATCATCATTATCTAACTCTTCGAAAGTATTCGCTATATATTTATATATAATACAACTTGTGAGGTGCTCAGCTGCGGCCATATGTAGGAGTTAGCAGTTGAATATGTTATTAAGTGAATTTGGTTTAATTTATCAGTTATTTAAATTATTTAAAATTCACATTATATATTACTATTTTATTTTTCAAAATATATATTTTTAAAATAAATCTTAAATATAAAACAAGCGTTTACAAATGTCCTATCTAGTGGTAAAGCATATATTATTGATTAATTTGAATTTTTAAATACCATAACATTATCATTATCTATTTAACATATTCTTTTTTATCTCTCTATATCTCTTTTCCATCACATTACATGACCTATCAAAGTTATTATTATCTTATTATTCCTTTCTTGTAAGTAAACACCTAACTATCTGCCAAACATTATTTTTCATGGTCACATGCAATGAAAATTGTGACAAGTCCATATCATAAACAAGTATAAACTCATCGATTAATGCTCTGTTGATTTGTACGGAATGGTTTGCATCCAGACAGCGCATAGCTCTTAAGATGTAATGCAGATAAGAAAAGTAAAAATTATTGGCAAACAGCTACAGAATCAGAGTCACAATTTGGCACTCCTCCCTCCCATTTCTCATCTGGATTCTTAATTTTTTTTTAATGAAATAACAACGGGATAAGCCACACAGAAGATTCAGTGAAATTTTGGCCTTTTTTTTTCTCGTCCCAGGATTGAGCTGGGTGCAACTAAAGCTACTGCATTTCCGGTGCAGTCAGTGACAGAGCGCAAGAAATTAAAAAAAGGACAAACTTTAAAGTATTTTTAAATTAATATTAATTAATTAATAGAAGCTTATGAATTATGATACGTTGCGTCAACGTCCAGATAATAAAAGTACTATCGGTGGAGGAGCGGTCTAGTTGTTACTGGCCGCATCAGCCAAACTACTACTCGTCAAAATAAATAAGGATAATGTTATGTGACAAAATGTTTTTCTTTTGAAATAATTCATAAAATATCTAAGAGAAATTTTTTTTCAAAAAGTGTGAAGGATAAAAATTGTATATAATATGCACCCATGTAAGAAATTTTGGTAAGAAAAGGTATTGCTTACCTGTGATTCTATAGATAGTCTCTCTATCACGTGTAATGAAGAATTAGAATCGGCGATTGGCGAATCACCTTTTTTTTTTCTCGTACGAAGTTACTCATGAAATATGGCAAAGTAGTATGACATGGATTGGGATTGCATCTGTTTTACTAAATGATACTCAAATATTCATTTTTTTTTTCTATTTTGGTTGTAATCATAAATTAAAAGGGCTAGCAAGTTTTGTTCCTGTATATGGACGGTTTCAACGTGGATATTAATGGACAATTGTTTTTCAATTTGTAGAATTTTGGGTTCAGGATGTCATGGATTTAATTAAAGTAATAGTGCAATTGTGGTGAAAGGATATGTGAGGTTGGTGACTTGGTGGTATGCTAAAAGATGAAAACGTGGTTGAGGTTATGTAATTTACGAACTGGGGTGTATTGTACAGGTTATGTTATTATTATATTCACACGTGTTTAGTTCTTGTACTGCTCTCTCTCTCTCTCTCTCTCTCTCTATATATATATATATATATATATATATATAATATTTCTGGTATAATATTTTGTATTTGTTTTATAAGAAAATATAATATCATGTATGAGATTCAATTTACTAATTTGATGTTCAAATAATAAAATTGAATAAGCAATGATAAAAAACGGTGGATAAATGGACATTGAGGTTTTATTTTTGGTTGCTCTCTAATATTACTTATAGGTGATAATTCAAACTTAAATACAGTGAAGTAAATATAAATGTCTCTTTTAATGAGATTTTGAAACATAGATTTCATTACTTCATAAAAAAAAAAATCTGTTTTTATTAAATCCAAACCTCATTGCTATATGAACATGGAGTTTGTACATATATATACTCCCAACATAATCTCTGGGTGAGTAAATTTTAATGGTCTTCGTTAAATGTGTTATTAGTGTTTAAAGGGTGAAGAGTTAGAATGTATTATTGATTACAAATCTACGTTGAATGGTTGTTTTAATTTGGTGCCGAGTTATACTCATTGCCATTAAAAAAAATTTCTTTTAAAAAAATTATAGCATTTTTGCTTTCCAATAATGTTTTAATTTTAATTTTGGTTAACTTCGATTGTATTTTTATGCAATTATGAGTCATTATATAGTCATCTAGCTGGCATGGAGTGGGAGGTGTTTTAGACCTTAATTATGGAAAGGCATGGTGCCCACAAAAGTCGTAGTTTGTGTAGTATTACTGAAATTGAAATCGTGCCTTGATTTATTCTGTTATTTTAGTTTCTCTATTACGGTACTTAATCTATAAATGGCTGGGATTCAATACCTTCCTGTTACATTGTTTATTTGTTCATTACCTTTAATTTCATGCTCTTGTAAGAGGGGAAAAGAGAAAAGAAAAAAGAAGACTTGGGTGATGGTTTGGCACCCACTGTTTTGGTCTATTTGGATATTTAGGAATGGAATTCTATTCAGAAATAAGCCTTCTGACCTTCATATATAAAGCATATTGGACTTCTAAAGTTTCAGATCATGGAAATCTATAGTTTATTGTCAAAGCTATGATAACTACAATATCTTCTCCAGACTGGTGCGTAGACCCTTTGGTTTTGCATGTTTAGCACACCTGTATTAATTAGCTACATTAAGGTTTGTGTAGTTTGCAAGAAATTGAGATTCGTTTCATGCTTTATGTAATTGTATATGGGTGTGAGTTCCTAGTGTATTCTAGTTAATGAAATTTACTTATAAAAAAATGTGAAAAATCTTTTTATATCGATATAAATTTAAAAATTCTTATACTAAGAGTCTTTTATTTAATTTAAATTTAATGAGTATAAGAAAATATTGTGTTCTAAAAAAAAGTCATCATCTAATTTAAATTTAATTACGATAATAATTATTTTGCATGTTAAATTTTTTTAATGAAATAAAATTATTTTAAAATTATTTAAATTTAAAATAAATAAGTAGAAAAAATATTGAATTTAATTAAAATTATATATTTTTCAACATACTAATTTTAGAAATAAAATTCTTACTTGTTTACTTTAAAAGCAAAATCATTTTATAAGTATCTTTTTTAACAATGTAAAAGTTTATATCTGAACAATGACATATAAAAAAGGGTTTTACTAATAAAAAAGATTAATTTTGATAATAAAATAGGAGTTTTACGTGGAAAATAACAATTTTATTACTTTAGGGGAAGATTAATCTTTTATTCAAAAGTTATGAACATGATTTGTAAAATTGATAACAAAGGTTCCAATTGCATTACAATGAACATAATCATAAAATGTAATAAAAGACGTAACCCATTTTAATGGAGTTGACCTCGAGGCATCTTTGTCCGAAGTATCAAGCTCCTCTGGCAACTGTCTCTAATTATTTTTATTTTTTTAGCTAAATTTTAAGATATTTCTTAAATACAAAATTTGGATATCAAAGTACCGTGTGCATATGCAACTAAACAAAGTTAACATATGACGTGCATTTTTATAAAACTTTTTTTTATTTTTTATTTTTTTATGAAACTGAACTCTAAACTATAAAATAAACAAGCTATAAATTGGACATTAAGCCCAAAACCTTGTAGAAAATGTGATCTAGCTAGCTAGGGATGTTGCTTAAAAAAATTGATTTAATTTAATTTTTATTCAGAAATATTAATCTATATATACTTAAAGAAAAATAATTAAAAAATTATAAAAAAAATAAAAATACACCTACATTATTGACCTTTTTAATACATTTTAATTTTATGTTTAACAAAAATTCTATATTTATTAATACTTTAATCAATGTTTGTAAGACATTGATTAACAAGATTTTTTATTTTATAAATAATTATAAAAATAATTATTTTAAGAATTGTTATATATATATATATATATATATATATATATATATATACTTGTATCACTTTTTAAATAAAAATTTTAAAACAAGAAATAAAATAAAATAACGTAATTTACAATATTTTTATTTTAACACATGAATATTATCAAACACAAACTTTAAATAGACTCTAAAAATCATCTGATTTAAACTATGTTTAATAAATACAAAATGAAAGGAATAAATAGTTTTTAAAAGTTAAATTTTGTAAAAATATCTAAAATAATGTTTAACTTTTAAAAATTAATTATCAATATTTCTATTACGTTTTTTTATCTTAAATAAAATATAAGTTAATTTTATCAAATATTTTGTATTTACCTATTTATAGGCTATATTTATTAAAGGTAACTTATAAAATTATTTATTTAGTTAATAATTTTATATAATTGTTTGTAAATATAAAAAAAATAATTGTAATTTTTAAAATAAAATTTTTAAAAGTTATTATTATCCAAAGAATTATTTAATTTTCAAAAATTAGTTACTAATATTTTTATTACATTTTTATCTTCTATTTTTAAAAAAAGATAATTTATTTTTACACACTTAAAATTTCAGTATGTTAATTTTTTTATTACTAAATTATAAAAATAAATTACATAAATAAAAAATATTTTTAAAATTAAAAAATAAATTATAAAAATAAATTATTTAAATTAATTTATGTAATTTTTATAGATATAACATGTTAAAATTAATAATTTTTAAAATAAATTTAAGTTATTGTTTGAATAAATAATATTTGTATTTACCACTATCCCACAGCAACTCTGCTGCATAAAGCGCCACCAACGTATGCAACAGAAGCGGTGTTTTGCTTCCACAAAGGAAATAGCATTGCTCCTTGCAGAAATGTATATTGTATCTAACATCAATTTATGCATGTCTTAAGCTAGGTTACACGCAACTCCAATAATAATCAATCATGAGTTTTGACAGTACTTCTGTCATTCATCTCCAAATTATCATAAACTTGCTTGACACACAACATACGAGTACATGTCAGATCATTTTAGTACTAATTGCGAAACCTAGCATTTCTAGTAGCACCACTTGGCCCAAGGGGAAGTCGTGAAGAACCGGGTTCAGCAGACATGACTCTATCGTTTATCTGGATCGCATTTGAAGGAGGGTTCCCAGAAGAAGAGACAAAATGAGATCCAGATGTACCCGCCATACTCCAGTTATTTGCTCCCCAGTGCGCAATCTGGCTATTGTGACGATTGGAAACTGCAACAAATTGCATTACGATCAGAAAACAAGTTCAGATTTTCAGAGAAAGAAAAACATAGAAAGGGTGGGTAGGTTGTAACTATCCGTCCATGTGTGTGTGTGTGTCTCCAGGGATACACAACAACTTAAAAAAGCTACCTATCTAGTGTCTACTAATATGTGTACCTTTAGTAGAAATCAGATTCTCACCTGCAGAATCACACTTTGGTATCTTTTTCTGCAGCGTATCTGTGTGAGGGAAGACCAACATATTCATCTTCTTTATTAATTGCTTGTTAATTGTATCAATTGGCTCAAACCCAAAAGCACCAATCCAAGCTTTTTTGAGTTGTGGGATAGCTGGTAAGATCAACAACTCAACATTGAAATGGCTGAGTGCCTGGTAAAACGTAGTAGTAAGAGAAACACAAGTTAGTTTTGAAGTAAACAAAACGAACAATTGTACATGCACGCATGAAACAAAAGAGAGAAATAACCTTAATCATGAACTCACCAATTCAATGCCGTTTAAAAGCCGGCGGCACATCCCTTGTCGTCTATATAAATAGCGGGTCGCAATAAATGGCATCTCTGCTACTTGGTTCTTATGGATCCTATTTAATAAACTCTGTCATCAGTCTACACATTTCTCTCTTTTCATCATTTAGCCAAAAAGAAGCTTCACAAAGTATGGTGGATTACAGATTTGCTAGCATGCAGTCATGCACCCAGGGGACATAAAAAAAAAAAATTATAGAAAAGAAATTGATTCTTTGCAGCAGGGAAGAAATTAAAACTATGGAACCAGTTCATTATTATGACATTTGACTACAGCTGAAGATCGTAAATTTACAAAGGGAATATTCAAAATTGCGCTCAAGGTAAAATCTTTCTGATTTGCTAAACACTTTAAAGAGAGATAAAAGAGAAGCAGAAAATTGAGCAAATAGAAAAAGTAGAAGCTTATCACAAGGAAGTTTTGAGCTTGACTTTTTTAATAGATATTATACCTAGATTCTTACTGATGATATATTTTGTTTTTAACCAAATTCAAGATAATTTAGTCTAATTTTTTTTTTATCAATACTAACTTATAAAAACAGACACACGATAATATTTCATTTAAATAAAGCATAAACAATGAATCTAAATGTAAATACATAAATAGTGATTTGATACGAATATGAGAATTAAAATGGTTACTTATATAAGTTTTTTTTAAAAATATAATTATGAAAATAGATACTCTAATCTCTTAAACGCTTTTCATTATGATCCATACTTTTAATAGATTTCCTTTGATTATGGAATTTATTTATTAGGTAGATATATAATGGATGACTATCACTTTGTTAGTACACCATCTTCATAAATAAGTTGAAGGTTCCAAAGTCATATCCTCTGAAATATTGTTTGGATATCGAAGGTATAATAGTAAACCGATGGCAAATTCAACTTCACAAAAAACACTTAAAACGCAACAAGATTATGCATCTAATAATTGTTCAGAGGAAATATACAAATAATTTTTCAGCTTCATTACGAAATTTAAGTAGACATTTACCTGATAGATGCAACACTGATGACCTCATCATCTTTCTCCAGAATTACAGTAAAAAATCTCCTATAGTTCAGGCGAGTGAAGTTTGACCTGATCAAAATAATAAGAGTATAACTATCACACATGGTAAAAAAGTACATATCCATCCTAACAAAGTAATTAGATTTTAGATGCATGAAATTATGATCCCATAACTTATTTGCTAAAATGTGAATGTCAAAAAAGTAAGAAAACTAATACAAAATAACTTTTTCTTGCATTGCTATCTTTATTGTAATACCGTACAACGTTTAAACCTCTCCCCTCCCCGCAAAGGAATTGTTTTCTATTCTACATTCTACTCCTTGGAGGCCATAAATTAGAAGAATAATAAACGGAAGCCGATATTCCCCAATCTCTTTGATCAGAACACAAATTTAGTTGACTAGATAAATTATAACTTCCAACCCTGCATGCACATATGTCATTATCTTATTTTGTTTTGTATCGGTTGAACAAACGAAAATGTTTGTCTCAGGCCTCATAAGGGCTGTGATGTAAGCTATAGTGGGAAGAAAAAAGAGAAGTAAAAGAGTTAAAGAAAAAGCTAGAGAAAAATATATAATACAGGAGAAAGAAAAATAAAAAAGGCGAGAAAAATAAATAAAAAAAGCAAGAGAAAGTAAATATGAAAAAAAGTAAAATCATGTTATTGTTAGTATAATTTTTCTACTTAATTTTTAACTTCTCAGAAAAAGGAGAGGGAATACAGACACACGTACAAAACAACTATATTTGAAAATATATTCTAAAACTTCTCAAAGTCAAGTACATTGAATTTCCTTTCACCTCTAATATACTATCTTCAAGAAGTTTATGGAACTCATTCATGTGATCAACACTAATATATTCTTCCATTCAAATAAAGGGAGGAAAGAAAAATATAATGAAAAAGAGAAAAGAGAAGGAAGAAGAAGAGAAGGGTTCTAGAAATATACTTTATTTAGTTTATAAGAAGAAAGAAAAAAAGGAGAAATTAAATGAATTTAATACCCTTCAAATCTCTCAGCTTTCAGAGGAAGTTAAATTAACTGAGAAATTTTGATCCCTTCCCTTCCTCTTCTTTCTAAAACGTTGAACCAAACATAAGATATACAAATTTCTCCATTTTTTCCCTTTTGCTCCACTTCCCTCCAACTAAATACTACCTAAGAAAAATGTTTGAAAGCATGTAAAAAGCATTGGTCTAGTGACCTTACCCGCAATTATATACAACATTGTGGATCAGATTAATCCTACTTTTGTGATCGATACATGGCAAGAAACACTCATCCATTACCGACAATGCAACAGCTAGTTTGGAATTGCATTCAACCATACGAGATTCTATCTGCGAATCATCATAACCAATATCTGACCGTTTTAAAATAGTCCAATAAAATCCATCGTTTATTTCATGTTTAACCCCAAGAAGCCTTTCAAATCTCTCACATAGCTGGGAGAACAACAAATAAATTACATTAATTAGATTACTATGACTAGAAAATATCTCCAAATGAATAATAACATCACCTGATATACCATTACAAACAACTAAAATTTTTCACAAAAGTAAGGTGAGTTATATTTTTTTGAATCAGCAAATAGATAAAGCAAAATAAAAATGCAATCTGGAAATAGATTTTAGAACTAATAAAAAAGAGAGTTTATAAGTGTGTATCATGTATAAATTGAGAAAAAAGAGAAATCCTAAAATGGGAAGACATTGAAGATCGTATTTTCACAAAGACAAAGTAATGAGATCACATTACAAGATGAATTATGTAAAACTAAAAAAAAAAATCTTCAGATTGTAGTCATGATTGCAAAATCGAAAGACCAGCATTAAGCCAAATTATTATGACATAATAATTTAGCATCGCCTAATAAATTTTCAGGCAGCAATCAAGATTCAAGAGCATGAAAAAAAAATTGATAGTACCTCTTTACATTTGTCTCCACATAAATATGCATGTTGACCATGAACAATGTTGGCGAAACTGGCCTCAAGACAGGATTTGTGATCTACAAAAAGATAAAAGTTGTATTCATTTTTGGCGGGGAAAGAAAATAGCTTATTTTCAGAAATGAGTATCTAATTGACCAAATAGTTAATGTATGAGGAGGAATACATCTTTCTTCGCATACACGGCATCCGTATAACATAGACTCGAAGTAACCTTTAAAGTTGTCTATTTGCTCTGCGCCATTCAACCCACAAAATTTGCAACGGCAATGGATGCAGTACCAATCACCCAATGGAACTGTCTGCAAGGAAGAAAACATATGTTTTATATTCTTGGGCAATTCTTTTTTATCTCAGCGAAGGAAAATTTCATAAAATTGGAATACAAAGTACTCATCTCATATACACAGAGATCAAGACTTTATACCTACACATAATTTTTCATACGACTCATAGGACGCATAAACCCAAACAAATATTAAGTTGCAATGGCTTTACTATGGATGTACGAGGAAACTATAGATTATAGGCATAACAATATAAGATTTTCATACTACTAGCAAATTTATTTACTAGTATAATACATCATAATTAATGAAGACTCATAATATTTATATTAATAATTTAACTTTGAATAGATATTACACTAATACAGCTAAATGCAAACAATGTAAGTATACATTAACATTTTGATGCCTGATACTGAAAGATGATCTTATAATATAAAATATTTATATATATAATTGATAATCATTTCATTAATATTATTTATAATACTGTTAATTTAAACTTATCATATTTACTTTAACATATTATAATATTGAATATAATTTTTTTTTATTAACTTGCCAGATAGAAGCCAAAATAAGCTTTCCCTAGCCAATTTGGACAACAGGACACTTCATAAGAATATATATTGTATGGGAAAATATATTCCTAATTGTATTTTTTTATAACTTTGTTAATATTTAAAATAAATATAAGAAAAAAATATGAAATAAAATAAATAAAAAGAATAAAAAATAAATTAAAAAAAACATAAAATAGAATAATTCATAGTATGTGTTCTAATAAGAAATTCAGGATGAAAAATCATATATCACATGGCCAGTTAATTATATGAAACTCAATTAAAATCGATGCCAATAAATTAGAAAATATTTTGTAGACATTCCAGCGAGTATCTATATTTTGAGAGAAAAAGAAATAGAATAACAAGAGTAACGTATATAATAACTTATAAACTAGAATAAAAAGAGAAAGATAAAAAAAAATAATGTTACTGTTAACGTGTTTATAAATAAGTTGTATAAATTATGAAAATGCATGATAAAGAATATTGTTTGAGTGAGAGAGAGAGAGAGAGAGAGAGAGATAAAAAGAAAAGGAAAAAAAATAAAAAATATGACAGATATATAATAAGAAAATGTAAAAGAGAGATAAAAAAAATGGATAAAAATTGAATGCAAGAAAAAGCAATTGAGAAAATATTATTATTGATAAATTATAGACTGGAAGGTACGTACTTCTAAACCCAAGCAGCTTGGATGGAAAGTTGAAGGGCAGCCATCACAACACATGAGATCCCCGATCTCTCCACAGAGAGAACAAACATCATCGTTGTGGTCATCACCCTTAACATCAATGAAATGAAAATCTTTACGATAAGATTCATCCTGTCTATTCCATGCATCTTTCATGCATTGCATGAGAGAAGCTCCTCTCTCCACATGTATATTTGTCAGTGGATTACAGTGTCCGAGTCTTGAATGAGCTTCGAACTTCGAAATGGATACAATTCCATTACAGCACCCACACAGAATGCCATCTCTAGTGATCCTACCATCCAGAACTGCACATTTTCCTTCATGATCCATATAAAGAACCCTCTCGTTGTGCTGAATTGCACCCATATCAATCATCCAGGTAATCACAGTTCGTTTTTCTCTATGTATGTCATATCGCCTCTTCCTTTGTGCTGTTCTTGGCCTGCGATCCCTCAGCCTCCTTGTAGAAGAAGAACCCACATCATTTTGTTTTCCCACTTTGTCATTCTTTTCAACTACTCTAATTCCACCTCCTCCCGTTGCATTTTGTCCATTCTTGGCCATTCCCCCAGTTAGTATATTCATATCCTCTTCTGGTATTGGTTTGAATCGAAAACCTGGTCCATATACTTTGCCTTCACCATCACCGGCTTCACAATGATGCTTAAGGGTGTTGTAAGCCAAGGTGAGTGACCAATGCGCCTTGCCTTCAGGACTAACATACACAGCATCATCGTACTTTTCGCTTTCAATGCTAGGTCTAAAGAAAATTACCCATCCCGCATCTGAGAGCTGATTTGCTATTTGTTCACTCACTGAGAACTTTGTTTTGCTTCTTCCACTTCTCTCAGCCCCAACAGCCCCATTGATAGCATTGGTCTCAGTTTCCAAATGCTTCCAAAATTCACTCCCCTTGGCTTGAGAACCTCCCAGATCTTTTAATACCTCTTTCTTTTGAGCACTTTTTGGACACATACCATCGTTAGCTTCATTCTCCATATTCACACCATGTACCGTAGTTAAACTCCTTACACCTTTGGTACGGTTTTGAAAGCTTGCAATGCGTTCGAGTGCCATAACAAAATCATTATTTTGGTCATCATTTGGAGGATTTGATTGAACTAATTGATCTTGCTCTTCCAAACTACTCATGTCATTCCCTTTTTCATTCTCCCCAACCCAATTCAACTCAAAATGAGTCATATCAGGTTCATAAATGTCAGCCAATTTTCTCTTTCCTCCAACACAATCATCACTCGTCTTTGACGCCGAGGGCACTCCACCATCAATCATCACTGGATCCTTCAACCCTTCTCCCTTCTCTCTAATACTACAATCACTGTTTTCATCTAAGTTAGTGTTTGCGCTTGAGCTACCAAGAAATAGTTGACGTTCTAGCTCTTTTATGCGCTCCATTAACTTCTTCCTCTCTTCTGCAGTTAAATTTATAGCCTCTCCTTCATGACCCTCGTCACATGAATCATCAAAAACATCGCTACCCTTCCCTTTCTCCTGAACCGCTCTCTCACTACTCTCCGGTTTCTCGACCCTTTTCTGAGATCGCAACCCCTCCCTCATTTCTCAAGTAAACCTAGTTCTACAATCCTTCTCAAATGGAGTTAACCAAAAACAAGCAAAACAAAACAATAAAATAACCAAAAACAAGCAAAACAAAACAATAAAGTAAAAGCAAAACAGAACAGCCAATATTAATTCACCACAAAATCTTCCTTCTACACGAAAGCTTGGAATAACTATAAACGCAGCACAGATGAAGTACTCATAGGTTGAATCCTGCTGAGAAGGGCATGCAAGTGGGTTCTGGGCATCAGAGAGTAAAGGAAGAAGAAAAAACAGAAGACAGCGTCAGCAAGAGGCAAAGGTTATCAGGTTACGAAAGAGAAAGCACAGATATGAAAGGTAGAAGTGATGACATTAGATGAGTTGTAGAGAAAGTTTGTTCCTTAGAAGAAGAAGGAATGGAGATGGAATTTGAGGAACGTGCGTTGTTTGATTGAGAGTGAGAGTGTAGAAGAGGAGAGAGTGATTTGGTTTGTGCTATGAGAAACCGATGTATAATTAGAAAACACAGGGGAACGATATTGAATTTTTAGAACGTTACATAGGTTTGGCTGGGCAACGACAAGGAGAACGGCGGAAGGCATGGTAATTACGTGTCAACTGTGTTTGGCTCTCCTTCCATCACCTTCTCTCTCTCCGCGTCCCACCCTCTCCTCTCCCTCTCTCTCCTATTAACTATTATGACTTCCTTCCATTTCTTTTATAATATCAAATTTAATGACACCAATGGCTTTTTGGCAAGGATATATTAACTCCTCTTCAATGACTTCCATTTTTCTTAAATATTTAATCATTTTAACAAGGGATCATAAATTGACCGACCAGGGATTCCCTTCCATCTTTTATAAATTTCTCTTTTCTTTCAAAATATCACAATATTTTTAAATAGTATATTTTCTTTTATTGATTTAAAAACACATTGACATATAAATTCACGATTTTATTAAAGAGTGTGCAATTAAAAACACAGTTAATTAAACCTTTATTTAATTAATTATTTTTATATAAAAATTTATATTAATATTTAACTATAAATTTTTTGGAAAATTAAAAAATATTTTTTTGCCTAAATAAAAAAGTATCATTTATAAAAAATAATTTTGTTTCAGCCAGATAAGATTATTATTGATAGCAAAATTGTTGTAATAACTCTATTAGTTGATATGCGTTTGGTGGTAATATATATATTACTAAATAATTTATTTAAATAAATTAAAAAATATAAAAATCAATAAAAATTTAAAGATGTACATAAAGAAATTTTTAATCCACATTACTAACTTTTTTAATATTCTAATTTAATATTCTTTAAATTACAAAAATTAAATTTCAGACAAAGTTTTAAAAATAAATCTTAAAAAGTGACTATTCTTGCTTCTGGAATTTAATTTTTAGAACAGCCCTATTATATATCAATTTAATAAATTAATTTAATAAGTTAGTCAAACTTGAAACTTGAATTGCAAGAGTCAAACAGTTACACCATTCTGTAACTTAAATTTTGAAAAAAAAAACATATAAAATTACAAAAAGTAACCCCTTTACTTTTATTCGTGCTTTGATACTTCCAATTTCCAAGGTTAATTAGAAAGAGTTTAGAGAATCTCCAATTACTAGAAAGTCCATGGGAGAAAATAAAAACACATTATGCAATCCACAACAAAGATCTATCTTTCTCTCTGAATGAACCTTGTGGTAATTAGAGATATTCTATTTCATCTTTAATCAAATTCCTTTTTTTTGAAAATATCACAATATTTTTAAATAATATATTTGTTTTATTGATTTAAGAATTGACATATAAATTTAAGGTCATTAAAAACTGTGAGTTTGAATATATAATTCAACCAAACGTTTAATTAATAAAAAAATTTCATGAATTTTTTATAATATATTTGATTATAATTTTTTCAAAAATAAATTTAATAATTTATTTTGACAAGTTATATGAAGTTCCAATTTAAATAAAATTTTTTAAAAGTAATTATATGAGATAAAATAAATAAACCATTTTTATAAATAAAAATCAACTAAATTCCATTACTTTTAAAAAAATCTAATTAACCTTTTCAAAACATAAATTATATCAGTTAATTTTAATTTTTAATGAAATTTTACTATGTATGTTTTATTGTGTATCATTCACTGCATATTAAAATAATTATATAATATATAATAAGCAAAATTACACTTTTCGTCCTTTAACTTTATGATGAAATATACCTTCGTTTTCTAACTTTTTTGTATTCATTTTTGTCCTTAAAGTATTATTTTTTTCTTAAGTTAGTCCTCTCCGTTAGCTCTGTTACATAACCTAATAGAAATAATTAACGCCGTTTGTTTAATCATATGTAGACTTTTTTATTTAAAAAATAATTAAAAAATTTAACTCTCTCTCTCTCTCCCCCTTCATCTTCTCGCAGCTCCCCAACCTCTTTCTTCCCAAATCCCTAACCCACCAGCCTTACCTCCCTCTCTTACAGTCCATTTTTTCCTTTTCACAGCTTTCCTACTCCTTTCTTATAGCTCCAACACATTTTCTCCTAACCCACTAACCTTATTTCTTCCTTTGCAACTTTCATTTTTTCTTGTAGCTATTTCTTTCTTTTCTCGCAGCTTTGCCATCCCTTCCCTCTAACCCACAAACCTTGTTTTCCTCCCATAACCTCTGTCTTTTTTTCCCGCAAGTGAAGCATTATCAGCAACACAAATAAACAACAAAATAACGAGAGATTCATATTTCAAAAAAATTAAAGAATTATACATAAAAAGTAATAAAATTTAGAGTTTGATATAAATATGAAATAACCTAATAAGCAATAGAGTAAAAAGTTGTAGCTTTAAACTCAGAGAGAGAGAGAGGAGCATAATAGATGTATTTTTTAAATCAAATTTATAATTAATAATTAAGCATAGGTTGGTACTTTGCTAATTTATTATGTAAACCAAGTGATTCAATGGATGTTTGAAATAAAATTTTGGAAATAATTTTCTAGTTAGTTGGAGAAAAGGAAGGAGACAAGACTGCAAGTGTAAGATAAGTATGTTTTCTCGCAGTAAACAGTATTGGCAGTAAGGAAGGGGATGGGAAGAGGGCTACGGGAAGGAGGAGACAATGTTGGTGGGTTGTGGGAAGGGGTGGAGGAAACTACGAAGGAGGAAGGGGAGGAGAGGGGGACTGTGGAAAGGAGGAGACAATGTTGATGAGTTAAGAAAAAAGGTGGGGGAGCTGTCGAGGAGGAAAGGGAAGAAGATTGCAGGAAGGAGGAGACAAGGCTTCGAGGAAGATAGAGCTCCTAGATTGAGGGGAAATGAGTGATGGAACAGCGTGAGAAAGAAGGAGAAGGGAGAGGGGCTGCAGGGAGGGAGAGGAAAAGTTGCGGGGAAGAGAAAGAGAGATTATGGAAGGGAAAGGGAACTACCGGAAAGAGAAATAGGCTATTGGAGGAGGAAGGAGAGGAGAAGTTACAACTCAACGCCACTTCACTATTTTTAATTATTTTTAAATTAAAAAATTTAGGTTGAATTAAATAAATATCGTTAATGTCATCTCAACGCCACGTAAGACGTTTCTGTTAGGTTATGTAATGTAGAAAAAAATACTTTAAAGATAAAAATGAATAAAAAAAAATAGAGGACGAAAGTGAATTTTATTCTAAAGTTAAGGGACAAAAAGTGTAATTATACCTATATAATAATTATCAATTCAAAGGTTAAGAACATTTATTTTTCATTTTGAACAAGGTAATAGTTTTTTTAGGTTATTTGTAATATGTGCTTTGATATACATTAAGAAGCTTTAAATATATCATATCAAATACTTTAAATTATGATGAAAAATGTGTTGTTAAATAATTTTTTAATAATTTAAAATAATAACATTTTTATTTTTTTAACTATTTTTTTTAGTTTTTAACATGTATCTTTGAATCCATGTTAAAAAAAAATTGTTTTTAGTTTTAATGTATTAAATTAGACTTTACTTGAAAAAAGAATTTGACGTTGTTAAAATATAAATATAGATTAATTTTTGAACTAATAGAAATTTGTCTGGTACTATTATTATAAAATCAAGTAGATATCTCTTGGTGATAGGAACATTAAGTTTGTTCATAATTTTGCTATTATTTGTAGGAATAAAAACCTAATTGAGACTTTCAAAGATGATAAAGATAATTGGAAGAATGATCCTATAAACTAAAAAATATTAGTCTGTAGTTCTTTCAGGATTTGAATCATGATCGTTACCTTTCTATTTTTAACCTTGATAGTAATACTACCTTTCTTGCTCTTAAGATTTTACTACCTTTCTTGCTCTTAAGATCTCTTATCATGATAGATTGAATCCCATTTTGACTATTGGTGAAGTCAAGGTTGCCTTTTTTAGTATTGATAACTTCAAATTTCTTCTTTTAGATGGCCTTTATTCTCTATTTTTTAAGAATCAGTGGGAATTTTTGAGTCCTTCTATCTCTAATTTTGTCCTTGATATATTTAAAAATTCTAATATGATTGATGATGTGAATGAAACTGACATCACTTTAATCCCTAATACTGCTAATGCTGAGAGAATTAATAATTTTTGGCCCATATTCCTTTGTAATGTGAGTTATAAATAATCACTAAAGTAGTAGCTAATAGGCTTAGAGATTCCATGCTCCATCTTGTTTTAGCCAATAAGACTAGCTTTGTCCCTAGGATGACAAGGCATAGATAAGAACTTTTACATTCCTTTAATAATCTAGAAGAAAATTTTGGATATATGATAATTAAGCTTGATTTGAAGAAGGTTCATGACAAACTCATGAAATTTTATTTTAGATACTATTAAGAAAATGTGTTTAAATTTAGAATTAACCAATCTTATTTATCAATGGATCTTCTCCCCTTTTTTGTCTCTAAATTGGAATAATAAAGCTACTAAATCTCCTTTTCTCTTATATTTTCGTGCTTTGCTTCGAAAGGTTAACTTATGTCATTCAGGACAAAGTCAAGAT